TTAGTCGCTATTCTCACTGAAAAGGTACATGCTGACAAAGACAGATATCTCGTTGCCGGAACCACGATCTGGTCCGGTCTCAGCTACGTGTTTTCCAAGGACGCCGTCAAGATCTTGACGAAAGAGGAGGTCCAGAAGCGCATTGCTCGAGCTGCGGGGAAGAAGTAAATGGGGGAATGTATAGTGGTGAGTTGATGTATGTACATAGGTCGCATACTTTGATCGGGGCTTGCATCTGAGCATATGTCGTTTGAAGTTTCAATGCATATTAGACACCATATGGACTTACTATAAACTCCCAGAAGTAGTATGCTATCCTTATAGTTATGAGTACCGAGTAGAAACCAGCTGATGTGCTCTGCTGATGTAATGGCGACATCTGGAAGCCGACGCAAGATTTTCCCACGGACCAATAGTGGGGCGGGGAATCAGCAGCAGCACCGGCGCATTTCCATCGGAGGTCTGAACTCTGACCTTCCCCGCCGGCCGGCAACTTAGTTGAGTACTTGATCACTTAACCTCCAACCCTCTTCATCTTTCATTCAACGTCAACTTCAGCTTCTTTACAGACCCCCCCCCCTTTCCAAAACACCAAAATGAAAGCCTACTGGTACGACAACAAGCCGGTAAGCAGTGCCAGCCCCTCCCGTCCTCAAACCAACAGCCCCCCTCCCCCTCTACCCCTCTACCCCTCAACCCTCCAAACCAAAACTAACCCAAGAAAAAAGGGCGACCAACGCCTCCCCCACGACAGCGCCCGCCCGGTCACCGAATCCTACCTCGCCACCCTAGGGGTGATCTACCACCACCTGCCCTCGCTGGCGGACGTGGACGCCCTGGCGGCCGCGCGGGGCTACAAGAACCGGGACGAGATCACGGTGTCGCCGACGACGATGGGCGACGCGTACGAGGCCAAAGTCAAGAGCTTCTTCCACGAGCACCTGCACGAGGACGAGGAGATCCGGTACATCCGCGACGGCCGCGGGTACTTCGATGTCCGCGGCCAGGAGGACGAGTGGGTGCGCATCCAGCTCGAGAAGGATGATCTGATCATCTTGCCGGCGGGGATTTATCATCGGTTTACGGTGGATGAGGGCGATGTATGTTCTTTTCCTTCCCTTGGAGGCTTTGAGGGGGGGGGGGTTGTGAAACGGGGCTGGAAAGGGTTGGGGCTGGGCTAACGTGGTTTTTTTTTCTGACTACAGTATATCAAGGCGATGCGGTTGTTTCAGGAGGAACCGAAGTGGACGCCGTTGAATCGGAGTGAGGAGTTGGATGGGAATCCGCATCGGGTTGGGTATTTGGGGTCCCTGGGGAAGGCGGCTGTTGCTGCGGTTTGAGGGGGTTGATTCCGGGTAAGATGGGTGGTTGGCATTTGGGGTAATGGGTGGGTGGAGAGCAGCAGCAGGAGGAGGTATGGGTTGGGGTGGGATGTATATAGAATAGGCACATGAAATTATGACACCCAAGTTGATTCTTATTCTTCTCATTGTTATCTTATAAATCATCACTCGCTAAATGCGATTGTTCCCTAGAGGATAGACAGCATCGTTATGCTGAGGTCGAGTCGATCGTCAACTACTAAATACACCAAACTATTGCCCCCCCAATGACCCTGGCATGTGCAGATCACTCAACCCCCCCGAACTCTCCTCCCGCACCATACTCGGCGGCCGCAGGTCCCCCGTCTCCACGTTGTAGCTGGAAGTCCGCGACACGCTGTCGAACTGCGGCCGCGACGCCAGCCCACCCCGGAACCGCAGTCCCTCCGTCTCATGCGCACTCAAGTGATCCGACATGGCGCCGCCGCCGCCGCCGCCCCCTCCGCGGGACGCGCCGTTCGACGCCGTCTCGGCCTCCTCGCCCGTCCGGACCCCCGTTCGGCCCATGCGCGGCCACAGATCCGGCAGCCCCACCACCTGCACCCGGGGCTCGACCACGCGCTCCTCGAACCACGCATGCACCCGGGCCTCCACCAGCTGAGCGACCTTGGGGACATCCTGGAGACGACTCCGGGAGCCGATCAGCGACCGGACCGACAGATCGAGACGGTAGTCCGGGAGGAAGGAGAAGGCCACGTTGCTTTTCGGGGTGCCCGTCTTCGGAAGGGACGAGGCATCGGCTCCCTCCTCTTCAACGGCGACGGAAGGCGGTGGAGCACCTTCCCCGGAAGGGTTCTTGGTCCCATCGGCCGTGGGCGGCGACGGGGACGGGGTGGGAGTATGGAGAGGTTCCGTGGAGGCGGGGACCAGCGAGATGCACAGAGTGCCCGAGAAGCGAACCACCGAGACCGAAAGTGCCACCGGCAGGATGGCGGAGCAGGGCTTGGGGTAGTTGAGCAACAGCGACGTTTCGACCGCGATGGAGAGGTTGTCGTCGCTCAGGTCGACGTCCATCAGCGCCTGCAGGCGGCCGCCGTCGGAGTTCGGGTCATCGACCGCGATGATGCGGCAGTTGCTGAAGATCGGGAACTCCTCCCCCAGGGAGATGTCCGTCACCGCGATCTTGTCGATGAACGAGGGCTTCTTCTCCGGGTTGTTCAGGGCGGCGTTGAGCGAGCTCAGGATCGAGGAGGTCGGCGAGTCCTTCAGCAGGTATGCCGTCTGTCGGTACTGCGCGATCGTCTGCGCGATCAGCACGTTGAACCAGTCCAGGGACTCGGGCTGGTGGGAGGAGTGGTGAATCCGGTGCCGGCCATGCTTGGAGGTGAGGTTCGGGGGGATGGAACTGTAGTAGGTTTTGCGGAGGATCGACTGCGTGTTGGTCGACGAGGAAGGGACCGGGCGGAGGACGTTCGAATTCGACGGTTTCTCCCGGAGCGATCGCGAGTTGGTCGAGTTGGTCTCATTCGGGCCAAGGTTGTAGATCGAATTCGACCGCCGGTGAGTGGAGGTTCGGTGCGAGAGCCCGCGCGAAGGTGGTGGTGGTGCTTCGCCGAAAATGAAGAATTTGATGAAGGCGCCGATCAGTAAGACCACGGATAACTGCCCGAGCAAGAATCCCTGTGTGAAAGATAGGCTAGATACCTGTTAGCCTTTAGTCCTCCCTTCCTTGAGCCACTACGACCACCGGCGGGCAGGCTATATTAATATGAGAGTAGTGACGTACGAGGATTGCGCCGGGACGGGCTCGGCTGGTTTCACATCGAAGGTCAGTCAGACAGCTCAAGGACAACCCAGGAAGACAGGCCAAAAACACACACCTTGTTGATAACACATCATTAGAGCACACTGTCGCCTTTGAGATGCTACCCATTAGCCATTGCCGCCACTGCTGCTGGGAACTTAGAGCTAAGCTAAGAGGCGAACGGCAAGTGGGCGGCGGCGCCGTCGAGATTCCGCCTCCGATGCGCGCTAAGCCGATTAGATTCTTGTCTGTCCGGTCACTCACTCTCTTCCATTTATCAGATTGGAGTCAACCTCCGTTAGTGACTAGTTATTATTTATCATTATTACTGTTCCATGGAAGCTTTCATCTGCTGGAAAGGACACGTTGTGCATTGACTAGGTTGCACAATAAATTCAGCCACAAGCTGGGAATCAGCTTCAGACCACTCCTTCATTCACTCACTATTTGCTGACACGGTTGCTCTCATATGATGCCTCTTGACTGAAAAATCCACCGCAGATTCCAAGAATTCTCATCCCGCATTCTTCAACTGACTCTCGAGCTCGAGACCAACAATCACATCCATCATGCGCCACACTCGCCTATTACAGTTCCTCTTCCTTCTCCTCTCACAGCCGCTCCTATCATATGGCCGATCACAGCAACCACCAGGCAGAGATGCCATCCTCCTCTCCCGCGTCCACTCACTCACTCTGCGCGCAAATCGCCTAACCACCTCTCGGCGAGTCTCGCCCATCCCTCAGTTGAAATGCATCGGTCCCACCAAGCGCATCTGCAACCTATACCCCATCGATACGATGCGATGCACAAACGAAGGCTACGACTACGACGAAGAGGACATCCAGTGGACGTGCACTGCCTCGCTCCCACCGGAGTTCAAGCTTGGATCAACCGACGTAGTGTGCGAGGGTTATAGGGACGCTGATGATAAATGGGTCTTGAAGGGAAGCTGCGGTGTTGAATATCGCTTGTTACTGACGGAGGTGGGAGAAGAGCGGTTCGGCTCAGGAAGGCAGGATAGCGATTTCTGGCCGGCGGACGTCGACCTATCTGGCTGGAGGGGCGTGTTTTCAACACTGGGAAATCTGATTTTCTTCGGATTCATGATAGGGTGTTTCTTCCTGATAATGCTGCCCATGCTGAGAGATTGTTTTGGCCTACGCGGAGGTCGACGGGCTGGAGGGCTCGGTCGCGGCTGGGGTGGATGGGGAGGAGGAGGAGGAGGAGGTGGTGGTGGTGGCGGCGGCGGCCCCTACCCTCGTGATCCTCCCCCTCCCTATACCAGTTCCAGTTGTCCGGATCCTGCTCCTGCCTCTGAACCATGGAGACCCGGGTTTTGGACAGGTGCTTTGGGCGGCGCTGCGGCTGGCTATGGCCTGGGAAGCAGAAACCGTCGTCGCACCCCAACTTTCAGGCAAAGGCGCACTCCGTCTTTCACGAGATGGGACGACCCCGGCGAAGGTAGCTCAGGGTCGCGCTCGCGCTCGCCGCAGTTTTCAAGTACGTCCACAAGTACTGGGTTTGGCTCGACTAGACGCCGTTGAAGGGTGGGGGATTGGCGTGGAGAAAGTGGGTGGGCTGTGACTCTGATTCGGATGACTTGGTGCTAGTTCATGGAGTAAACAAGTCTTCTAAATGAAGGAGCCACATGGCGGTTGTATTGATGCCTAGATTAGGGTAAGCATAGGTATCCAAGGGGAAACCCCTCTGGAAATACCTCGAAAATCAGACACCTCCGGTACCTGCTTTCCCAGCTTCCTTCATCATAACACGAAGCACATAACGCCTGTATGTTGCCGCATCTATAGGAACTTCGCCAGAATGATGCACCGCGTGCATGGCATGGAACCTCAAGGCACGTCGTCGATCGTGCCCAATACCTCCTCTGTTCCACCGGCCATAGCTTTAATCGCCTGCCTCCGGCTGGGTCGTTTGACCTTAGCAGGCATATCACCATTTTGACCAGCTCCTTCAGCTGCACCATCCGGATTGCGAAGCAGTGCTTCTTGAGCCTCCTTCTCTTTGGCATGCTGTTCCTCCATCTGTTTCCGTTCTTCGTCTAGTTGTTGTTGTATGACTTTGGGATCATCATACACGGTGTTGGTCATTTGGGAATAGGTATTGATGTCAATACTCTCCCGTGGACCGAGAAGGGTATCCTTGATGCGCAAGGGGTCGCGGCGCTCTTCATTGTTAAACTTTAACTTGATCTGCCGCCTGCTTCTCCCCGGGAAAAGTTTGCTGATCATCATGAAATCGGTGCCGAAGATACGCAACCCTCGATAAAATAGATCCGTCATTTCCTCATCCCAGGACTCGGTTTTGGAACGTTTTCCGTAAGTAGACTGGTTGATCTTCCGAGTGAGTGTGTTTTCCACGACGTCCTCCAGCGCGCCAGCATTTCGTGCGGCATCCGCATGGCGGTCAACCTGCAAGGAAGCAGTATCGAGCACGATTTCTCCGTTCACAATGCGCATCACCGGTCCAGCTTGAGATTTGTTGTCAAGCATGCTGTTTCCTTCAGTTGCTGGCGTGGCCTCGTTTCCATTGGCCTTGACTGGAACCTCAGTGTCTCCTTCTTGCTGTGCGCGCTGTTTGCGCTCTTGCTCAGCTTGATCAAGGATGCGAAGTTCAGTCTCTCTCTTAGAAAGTTTTCCGGTTCGGAGGTCCTTGCATAATTCCGACATTTTAATGAGACCAGGGGCGATCTCGACATTCTCGGAACCCTCAGGAGTCGGCTCGCGCTTCTTCCGCGTACGAGTCTTTCTTTCTTTCTTCTTGCCCGTCGCATTCTCACCATTCCCTTCCTTGACAGATTTCCTTCGCACCTTAACCACTTTTCGCGGCTGCGTAGTAGGGGCGGGCGTCTGCGACTCTGTTTCTGTCTGACTTTCTGTCGGTTCTATAGCGGTGGCTTGAGAAGCGGGAGGCGTTGGAAGAGGAAACTCGGTCACTGGGGGTTCTGTAGGAGCGGTAGGAGGTAGGATAGAGGCCTTGGCCACCGAATTGGTCCTGGGTCGTTTGGTAGGGCGAATTTCGATAGCGCCATCTGCGGGACGGCGCACGCGACTTTGGGGAGCAGCGGCCTCTTCAGCACGGCGCTCTACCACGTGCGTTGGGCTGACGTCCCTACTGCTATCGGCGCGCGTTTCCGAGGGTTCATTGATTGAAGACTGAGGCGCAAGTTCGGTAGGTGCGGTACTAGGCGGGGTGGGTTGAGGAGGTGGTGATACTACTTCTGCGATCTTGGGAGGCGCTGCTGAGACAGAAGGCTTCCGTTTCGGTTGGGGTATTGCGATCGCGGTCGCAGACAACGAGGGTGTGATTTTCTTCTTTGGGGCCGCGTCTGGTGTTTCGATGGGGATTGTGTCAACGGCAGCTGTCTGTTGGACAGAGCTGGTAGAAGGGCCTGGCTCAGGTGTGGCTGTCGCGGTCGCTGGCTGCGGTGTCTGGGAAGCAGACGGTTGCGACGCAACACTGGGCCGCCGTGGTGGAGGGGGAGCTGGGGCGCGTCGGGCGGGCGCCTTGGGAGCAAACTTCTTGCCCGACTTATCTAGCGAAGCAAGAAAGATTAGATACGAGTCACAGCGGGAATCGGAATCCGAGGGAGGAGAAGGAAAAAGAAAACTTACTGATGACCGAGCTGGAAAAAGACTTCATCCCGAATAACAATTCTGATCAAATTAGGTCATCGCCAATATGTATTCGCTGGTAAGACAGTCGATTTAATGAGGGAGTATTTGCGTGAATGACCAAAGGGGCACAAATGAGAGTGAATGATAGATGAAAGAGTTGAGTCGAGTTGAGTCGAGTCTAGATGCCCAGATCTGCTGAACTCCCGGGGAAAGTGGATGGGGTCACGTGGGAGGCGCTAGGAAACGCAAACTCCCAGGCCGAAAATCCTCCTGGCTTTCCTTAAGTCTTGCTTATCTCAACCTTCTTTACACATAAACCCCCAAACCCCATCCAGCACATACCTTCTTCCCTCCCCCCCCCCCCCCCCCCCTCTCTATTCACTCACTCTACTCATCACCACCCCACCCTCATCACCATATCTTCTACGGTCGGATTTTCTTGCGGTCTCGGCTTTCGGCTCGTTGCTGCTCAGTGGTGACGGCCTCTAATTTACTTATGCCTCTGTAGCCACTGATGCCGGCCGCCGAAGCATCCCCCGTCGCATCTTCCGATTCCGGTTTTGTCACGATGGAAGACCGGAAAAGAGCCGCTGCTTATGACCACAACGACTCGACTCCACCATTGAAGAAGCAGGCGACTTCTGTCAATGGTGGTAGCAAGCCGCACCCCGATGCTGACATGCCCTGGAAGGATGATCTCGAGGTGAGTGCCACGAATAGCCCACGTGGGTGTCAACTTACCCCAAGGGTTACCCTAGAAACCCTTCCCAACGCCAAAGTCGACTGGACCGTGGACTCAACCTGGCGAGATACTGACGTCTCTTCGTCGCAGCGATTCCAAAAAGACGCAATATGGCGCCAGATGCAGGAGTACAAGCGGGAGAAGGTGTCCCTTGAGGCCAAGTTGAAAGAGTTATCCAAGTCGACCACCAACCATAATGACCACCTACGTATTATCGATGCCTGGTACAAACAAGTGAGTAGATCTCCGTATTTTGCTCGCTCTGTGTGCAAGGCTGATGCTCGTCAAGTTGATCGATGAGATTAAAATACTCATGGGCGCTCCGGAAGAAGATGCCAAGGGTGGGTCCGCCGTGAGGCCCCCAGTTGCTCTACACCCAGCCACTAACCCTTCCACAGAACCCTCGTCTTTCCAAAGCAGTCTCTTGTTTGACGATAATGAGAAATTTGAGAAACATCTTAAATCTCGGTCGGAGGATATCCGGAAAATAATTTCGAGCGTCTTGTCTAAATCGGCGAAAGTCTCGCCCGAGGTCTCAGAGTTGCAGACCCAACTCGCAAAGAAACTTGCGGAAGAGAAGGCCACTATCAGCGATCTCGAGAAGGCGTTGGCGGAAAAGCAGCAGCTAGAGGAGAGTTTGGAGGAGGCATCTCTACGTTACATGGTAGCCGAGAAGAAACTTGATCGTGCACGGAGCGTCACTGTCGCCAAACTCGAAAAGCAGTATATACTGGGTGCCCAGCGGCCCGGGGGTGATAGTGCATCTGGACAGCGGGACGAACCGTCAGCCTCGAATGGCGCAACTCCAAGTGGTGAACGAAGCCCTGCGTTGGACGAAGCCCACAACAAACTCGCGGCCATCTCGGAAAAGCAAAAGGAACAGCTCCATAAATTGGAGGCCGAGAACGCCAAATTGTTAAGCCAAATCACTGACTTGAATATCAAGGTATGCTCCTTGCGCATGTTCTCTCAGCCGGGAAGCACTAACATAGGCGTAGTATACACGATTGACGGATGATGATTATGCAAGCACGGACCTGTTCAAACAGTTGAGATTTCAATACGACGATGTTGTCACTCGAATAAACCATTTAGAGGCGACTAATGTACAACTTCGCGAAGAAGCGGCGAAACTACGGTCGGAACGAACTGCATACCGCAATCAGGTTGACGAGGAGACGCAGAGTGTAATTGCCGAGAGGGAAGCGCAACTGATGCGGGCTGAGACGGATTTGGCACGGATACGGAATGCGCGCGACGAATTATTGGCGGATCAACAGATGCGAAAGGCTGCGCAGGAGCAGGAGAAAACCACGGCCATCAAAGTCCAGGAACTCGCAGATGCAGGCCAAGCTCGAATCGCAGCCCTGGAATCCGAGGTGCAGCGCTTGCGTGTCGAAGTTGAGAAGGAGAAGGCCGCCGCACCGAGTGTCGATGAAATCTCAACCGAAGAATTGCGTACTCGATTCCGCAATTTAGAGCGCCAATACGCGATGCTCAACACCGAATTATCCTCGATGCAAATCGCTTGCAAAAAGTACTCGTCTCTGGCTTCGCAGAAAGTCACCGATTTCGGCGCTCTGGAGGAGAAGGTCGCACGACTCATTGCGGAGAAGTCCAAAGCAGATCAAAAATACTTCGCTGCAATGAAAAGCAAGGAAGCTCGGGAGTTGGAGGTTCGCACTTTGCGTATGCAGAACTCCAAGAGTTCGGACATTGTCACGCAGCTGAAGGAATCGGAAGCTGCAACTCGAAATTTGCTTGCGAACATGGAAAAGCAAGTGAGTGAGACCAAGGAAGCATTGAGTAGCTTGATTGCCAAGAACCACGCCGCGCAACAACAAATCACGGAAAACAATATCACAATCGAGGGTCTGAACAGGCAAGTGGCGGATCTCAAGGCGTTGTCTGCATCCAAAGATTCGACACTTTCCAGTACAGCCAGTGCTTGTCGTAAAGCCGAAACGGAAGTCGAGGGCTTGAAGGCTACCCTGGCGGACACGAAGAAGAGTCTAGACAGCTGGAAGAACAAGAGTCTTGGCAACCAGTCATCTGAATATGAGATGCTGCGGGTCAGTACCACGTCTTATCATTGCAAAAAGTTCCCATTGCTAACAATTCTGTAGACGCTTGCTCTCTGTACAGTTTGTCGCCGGAATTTCAAAAATACTGCGATCAAGACTTGCGGCCACGTCTTCTGCAAGGATTGTGTCGAAGAACGTCTTACCTCGCGGTCACGCAAGTGCCCTAACTGCAACAAGTCCTTCGGCAATAACGACTACATGCATATCACTCTGTGATCTGATGCCAGAGTTTCTCCGTTTATAAATCTCTTGTATCATAGTCTCTCTACCTTTCCCCTTTCCCCTTCCCTATTATCCTTCCGACTTGCCATTTTGCCGTTCTTTCTCCCGATTTTTCTCTTTATGTCCGTTTTATTACCCTTTTCCTTTCTTTTTTTCTTTTTTCTCTTTCGACCCCATATCTTTCTCTAATTATGGAAAAAGGCTCATGGTGCGGTGTTTTACTGTGTGTTTAGCAGGATAGGATTCTCAAGAAGGCCGGCGTTCGATTCAGATCTGTTCCTTTTTGATCAGATATCTTCTTTGCATATTGGCCGGGTTGTTGGTCTTCGGGTTACCGGTTTGATTCCATTTTCCTCTTTTCTGTCCGTTTTATTCGATTCCCTGTTTGTGTTTCGAGGCGTCCTCCTTGGATACCCACGTGAAGTTGAGATGAGGTATGCAGCTCACATGTAGGATTAACTTTAGAAAAAATAACTATATTGATGAAAGAGACCGAACAAAGATGCTGAACGCAGCCCAGATTTATCCAATGCTCAAAAAAAATTCCGTCATTACCCAGACTCTTGCGCTGACTTGCCATGAAATTACAAAACGACCAATGCCCCCACTCCAAAATAACGAATGACTCCAGAAAAATGCAAATATGCTTGGTGCGGTTGGTGGTGGGTGTGATCAGGAATTGAAGATCCGACTGTACAGCAGCTCGTGTCTGCCCACCCACAGATCCAACGGCGGTACGATCTGCCCGGCGTCCTCGACGGGGGTATCCCATTCCTTGTCGATGCGTTCGGTGATCATGTCCTGCAGACGCCGACTGGCCAGCACGCTCTGCGCCTGATACGGGCCCATGACCGAGGCCCGCACCGCCGCACTCAGCACCGCCTTGGCGTGGTTCACCATGAATACATACGCCGTCTGGCGGGCATCCATGCCCATGGCCGAGCACACGACCCCCCACAGCGGCGCCAGATGGCCCTTGGGCCCCAGCTCGTCCGCCGTATCGCCGCACAGCTTCAACGCGTCCGAGAAATTGGAGATGGCCTGCACCGCGGCCGCCGCGGCGGGGGTGAGGGTGGTGGTTGTTGTTGTTGTTGTTGTTGTTGTTGTTGTTGTTGTTGTGTAGGAGGCCCGGAACGCGCGCTCCCAGACCCCGATCAACGCCCGGCCCTGGGCGACGCTCGCGCGCTGCGCCACGATGCAGGGCGTCGAGGCGTCCATGTCGTTGTCCAGCGTCTCCAGCTCCTCCGGGTTCCGGTATGCGGCCAGCACGTAGGGGATGGAGGTGCTGGCCATCGAGGCGATCGAGAGCTTCAGGAAGCGATGGAACGAGGCCACGGGGGTGACGGTGCGGGGGAGCGGTTTGTTGTGGGCTAGGTAGGATTCCAGACCGCTGGAGTAGGCGAAGGAGCCCAGCGGGAGGGCGGAGTCGGAGAGGAGAAGAAGCGCGTGCGAAATCGGGATTGAGGGTGGTGGTGGTACTGCTGCTGTGCTGTCTGTGTGGTTTGGTGAATCAGGAGGTGTTCACGGTTTGTAGATGGGGTATGTATGTATGTATGTATGTATGTATGTACATACCCTTGGTGGGAGTCGTGTCATAGTCGGAGTCGCCATCATCGTGGTGGTGGTGGTTATTGTACGGTGGTAGCGGTGTGGAAGGGGAGGACGATGCCAATGCTAGACGTTTCCGAGCATGTTGTAGACGTGACTCGAGATCGATGATCTCCTGCTCTAGGTCTCGAGTGGTGATTTTGACGGCCATTTGGGGGGTGTTCGGCAAGCTATCCAAGGTATGGGAGGAGGTTTCTTGGGCAGGGAGAGTAACAATTGACAATTCATGATGCCCGGCAAGGGGGGAGTGGCGTTTTGTTATATCTACCTCTTTCAAGGCGAAATCCCCTTCCCCGCCAGCCGCGCCATCTTTTTTTTGCTCAAATTCCCCTTATCGGTTGAAGTGCCGATAACGGGTCCCATCGGACTCGGAGCTGACCGGGAGGAAAGTCGAGATAAATCAAGTAAACAAGATACGTAAGAAGCCAAGTTTCTCCGCGGTGAGCCCCGGCAGAAAAAGCATCCCGGTCGCGGGCGGGAATTACAGCCCATGCGATTTCCACCAATGCGTTCATCTATTCCGGATTTTAACTTACCGGTTTCTGGATAGATTATCGCTCTCCATCTGATCGAATCATGCGCACAGAATAAGCCTGGGGGATTGAACGGGCCACCTTTTATATACACCTTACAGACGTACACAAACAATGTCGGGCAAGCGTCTCTTAGACGTCATTCAATTGTGCAATGTCGCTGGGACAGTGGCGGCGAGGCATCTCGCCATCCGCCAACGCCAGATAGATCTATACACCCGCACTTCCTCCCTCACCAAGGGCATCAAGAGCCAGGTTGATGGCCTGTGTCTCTCGGCGCAAGCTGCAGCTGCACTAGCCAGACGATTCAATGAACCCGATCCCGAACCCTACCGTCCGTCCGAGTCAGCACCCACGATCGCATCGAGCTACGCGGAGCCGACCCCGACCACCACCACCAGCAGTGCGACATCCGATCTCTCCCCCGGGGGGACGCGGCAAGCACAAAAACAGGCGGAAGCTCAGATTCCTTCGAGGGTGGCGGACCACAATGGGAGCGGACAGGCGAGTCCTTTGGATGTCAGTCAACAACAGGATGTGTTCTACGAACCTCCCAAGCACTCTGCAGCGGGTGACTCGGGGCTTCCCCGGATGAAGTTGCCTAAGAAAGCGAATGACACACAAATCGGTTCCGATAGAGATATCAATGCGGATGTGTTCCAATCCCCAGTGAAGACTGCCTCGGTAGATCAGGCTGCAACCACAAATACGACCGAATCGACCGAAATCCCGGAAGAGATGATGAAGGATATTTTTCATAGTCCCAGAGTCGCAAGGATGATGTCTCGGAAGCCGGCGGCGGATATGCGGTACAAGCAGGCGGGCGCAGTGCCTCGGGCAGAGCATGCGAATCAAATCGAACAGGAGAAAGAAGAAGCCCGTGCTGTGGGGGAGATGGTCGCGGAAGCGGCAGCGGCGGTATGTTGAGCAGGGTGGTTTGGTCCTGCAATGGATGAAAGCTGACATTCCTACGCAGACAGAGCCAGAAACGGCTGCCGCCTTGAAGAACCAGAACACATACAAGATGGTTGAGTCCCGTGTCCCATCATCCCGCATCGGGAGATTATGGCAGTACGGCGGACTGGCCACTTCAATGGCGTGGGGTGCCATGGGCGAGGGTCTTCGCAGGGTCACAGGCAGTCAAGCCGAATCATCCGGGTCGCTCATGTTCAGTGCTGCGAACACGGAGCGGCTTGTAGCTAAATTGTCCAAGATGCGCGGAGCTGCCCTGAAGTTAGGACAGATGATGAGTATTCAAGGTATGCGCACCCTCCGGGCTTCGATTCTTCCAGTCTAATGAAGTTCACAGACACAAAGATGCTTCCTGAAGCTATCCATCAAGTCCTCCAACGAGTCCAAGACCGAGCAGACTACATGCCTGCCTCGCAACGCGACAAGGTGCTGACCGACAACCTTGGGCCGGACTGGCGCGATCTATTCTCTTCTTTCGACGATATTCCCATGGCCGCTGCCTCCATCGGACAAGTGCACAGTGCCGTTCTGAAACGTACCGGCCAACCCGTGGCTGTCAAGATCCAATACCCCGGGGTAGCCGACTCCATCGACTCCGACCTCAACAACCTCTCCATCCTCCTCACAGCATCCCGCCTCCTCCCCCGAGGCCTCTACCTCGACAAGACCATTGAGAACGCTCGCACCGAACTCGCCTGGGAATGCGACTACATCCGCGAAGCCGAATCGGCGAACCGCTTCCGCGAACTCCTCCGCGACGACCCCGTCTTCCTCATTCCCGAGATCATTCCCGAAGCGTCCGGCAAGCAGGTGCTCACCATGGAGCGCCTGGAGGGCATCGCCGTGACCAAGATCCAGGACTTCACGCAGGCCCAGCGCGACTGGATCGGCACGCAGATCATGCGCCTCTGCCTGCGCGAGATCACCGAGTTCCGATACATGCAGACGGACCCCAACTGGACCAACTTCCTCTACAACGCGCGCACCGACCGCCTCGAGCTGCTGGACTTCGGCGCCTCGCGCGCCTACCCGACCGAGTTTATCACCAAGTACGTCCGCACCCTCGTCGCCGCCTCCAGCAACGACCGCGACGCCTGCCGCCGCTTCTCTCTCGAGCTGGGCTACCTGACCGGCCACGAGAGCCAGGCGATGGTCGATGCCCACGTCACCTCCGTCATCACCATCGCCGAGCCCTTCATGGAGACCTCGCCCGACGTCTATGACTTCCGGGACCAGACCATCACCGACCGCGTGCGCGCGCTGATCCCCGTCATGATCCGCGAGCGGCTCACGCCGCCCCCGGAGGAGACTTATAGTCTGCATCGCAAGTTGAGCGGGGCGTTCTTGCTCTGCGCTCGGTTGGGGAGTCGGGTTCCTTGCAAGGAGTTGTTCCGGGAGGCGATTCGGAGGGCGGAGGCGAAGGGGCTGAATTGAACTGACGGGATATAGCGAGTGGTGGGGGTTTTTTAAAAACATTTCGAGGGGATTTGCCTCGTTTCTGGCTTAGCAAGGATAGAAGATCTTTTCAACTCTTGTATATTTAAGATAGATGTTGTGTATGAATATGGACATGACTTGGACACGTTCCACGATTCAATCTAGCAAGTATAGAGGCGCATAACCCGCGGACGATAAGACACGACACCGCCAAGAACCGCCGCCCATCATGGGGCATTCAAGCTGTCCAAACCATAGCCAACCTAAAACCCCTAGAATTTCTCCAGTTCAACAGGTTATTATTAGTTGAATGGGCGCAAACAGCCGCACCTCAACCCTCCAAAGCTACCAACCCCACCATCGTCCCCCATACATCGCCTGGTAGTATTTCTTCACCCTCTTGCAGATCCCCTTCTTCCCTTCCCAGGAGCGAAACTTCCCCTCGAGCTCGCACGCCGTCCACCGGATCTCCTCCCAGAACTCCTTCTCGACGTCGCGGCCGAACGCCCGGATGATCTCCGGCGGCCCGGTCCAGGCGCGGGTGTAGCGGCCATCGTCGCCGATGGCGGGGTTGACCTCGTGCGCGTCGAAGACGGTGGCGGGATCGAATTTCGGGTAGTTGGCGTGGATGAAGAAGGCCCGCGGGGTATTACGGGTCGTGCTGTCATTGTTGGTGGACAGGAAGAAGCCGTGCGCTTGTGGCTGGGGTTTTGGTGTATCAGCACGGTGGTGATGACGATCAAAGTCCTCCGCGGGATCGAACTGCACCATGGCGGAGCCGGCGAAGCCGCCGCCGCGCTGCGTGGTGTGGCCGATGGCGCAGAGGGGCTCGGCGACCTGGTAGTGCGGCTCCGCGAGGGCCAGGGCCGCGGCGACGAAGGTCTCCTTGTCGCCTTCGCCGGCGGCGCCCTGCGACAGCAGCGGGTAGTAGAACTCCGGGCCGTGGATGTTGTAGTAAGTGCTGAGGAGGAGGGTGCGCAGGTGCGTTCTTTTCGAGAGGAGCACCTCGCCGGATTCGCTGGACGGGCGCGTCGGCGGTCTCGGGGTCGGTTGCCCTGTGATCGCGTAGTAGGATGGGGAGATCGTCGTGGCCCAGAAGTCGGGCCAGGTGATCAGGCCGTGCGTGAGGAAGGGGTCGCGCGTGAAGAGGGTTTCCGGGGGGAAGAGCGCGTAGGCGTCCGCGTCGAGGAAGAGGATCTCTTCGAAGGAGGAAAAGAGCATCGCGAAGAGCTTGAATTGGTACTTCTGGATGTGAATGGAGTGCGGGATCGCGTTGAGGATGGTCGAGAGCACGATGCATTGCGCGTTCAGCGAGGGCAGGATCACGTCGCAGATGTACGTCTCGTACTCGTCTTCGCTGGCGAGGAAGACTTCGACTGGGAGCTGGGAGCCGGTGCGCCGGAGCATGCGAAGCGATAGCACGAGCACGGGGAGGTAGGATCCTCCTGCGGTGGACACGAGACCGCGCGTGTTGCGCGTGTAGTTCAGTTGAGGCGGCGTAGTCTGGATTGCGTCCAGGAAGCCCCGATGCGTCTGTTGCAGGTCCTCAATGTCCATGGGGAGGAGATCCAGGAATTCGGTTTGGTCGTAAGGGTCTGCCTGCTCGAACCGAATCGATGGTGCCATTCCCAGCCTCAGAGGGGGTAGGCATTTTGGTTCGTAAGTGGTCAGCAGGGGTAGGAATTGACGCCAGAATTCGATGTGGCCTTCAGTAGCATGACGCCAGGTGAGTTGAGCTTGTCGGAGTACAGCTGGATCATCGGTGGAGGTGGCTTCGGGTACATCACTCTGATTGTGCCAGCGCGAGAAAGACTGGCTGCATATTAACACGAGGAATAGGCCCGCCAGAATGATGCGTATGCGCAACGCCGCGCGACTGGGAAACATTGCTCTCTAGAATTCATGGATCAGGTGGATCTTTGGGTAGTGAGACTGGTGTTGGTCAAGCACCCTTTGAATCGGGTCTCTACTGCAACTTTGTCACACCCGAGGGGCGGAAAATTTGTACAGTCGCAAGATTCACAGCAAAGAAAATTCAAATTGATATGTTCTCTGCGTCTGTTGGGCTTGTATGAAGACTCAATGCTTTACAGGCGCTAAATGGAGGCGCGAGAGACAGACTTGGATGCAGACCACTGCAGAAGGCACACAATGTTGCTTGGAGGATGAGCAAGTAGGAGGATACGTAGTGAAAATAGGTCGTCATTATGAGCAGAAATAAAAAATAGGAGTTTTGAATTGATCGAGGAGATACAGGTCCGCCTGAGTTCCATAGGTGAGAATGGATGGATTTGCTGCAATCCGAGATTCGCGGAAACACCGGGTATGACGCTCACCATTATCGTCTCATGCTCAATGTCACCATAAACCCATCCAGCGTTTCATGTAGTTAGGGCATGGTGAACCCAGGTTCCTGGCACCAGAAAAGCATGAGTGAATCATCACAAATCACAATCCGAAAGTGACTCAAGCATGTTTGATACTCTCGCCTACGTCCCACGTAATTTGAGGGGAAGTAATCGGATGGATGAGATGATGGATAAGGAAGAATGTGAAATGCTGGATGTGCGAATGCGGGCCGATGGGCGATCATTTTGCTGAGGTAGCATTCCCCATGTTTCCTTCCGGTAAGTGTCCGCACGGTAGGGTCAGGCCTTCAACCACGGACACCTGACATTTGACTGCACCCGTAGCCCGCTAAACTAATCAGATCAATTGCATCACTAGCAAACGTGGTTCGTGAAGAAGCATGTTAGGCCTGTACACTGCATCATGGCTTCGTTGCTTTGGATTTGAAGGACTTTTATCTAGAATGACTCGAGCTGCGGCTGGCCTCCTCTTCCTCGACAATCGTGTCGGCTAGAAGAGCAGCCTTCCTTAGATCCCTCGAAGCTTGCCTCCCGTGCCAAGCTGTGAAGTAGTCATCCTCGGTACTGGGATCGCTTGCAGAAGGCGTCGTCTTCGCAGTGTCGTCGGGGAGATCATCGTCATTCCCATAGAACTTTCGGGCAGCGGTACCCAGTATAAACTTTACCAGCCGATCTGCTGTCTCGACGGTAATTGTAGTCGTGCCGAACAAGATCAATCCAATGCCGACTCCTGCCAGGATGGCAATCGCAAGGAAGGCAAATAGGGCCTGCGAGCATCATATGAGCTCTCTCTTCTTCTTGCGATACTAGAGGGACAAAGCACACGATCTAGGTACGTACCTCAAGCTTGACAAGTATCCTCAAAGGCAGCAGGATGATTTGAACCGCGAAATAGCCCAATGCTCTCAACGGCGAGGTCAGAATGCGCAGCAGTGTATATGCCCCGCGCACTAGGTAAAGAGTAGGATAGAATAAGGCATTGAAGCCGCCCCGCAGAATTGACAGCCAAGCCATGTGCTCAATCTAAAGCGATGAGACCCTCCTACCAGGACTAGTCTCACCTCAGCTCAGCAGTCCAGAGTATATTAAACACCTTAGGACTGTCGCGGGCGTGCCTAGAGCGTCCATCATGTCAAGGGGAGGCTGGTAATCTGCTTATGTCAAGCGGTCGGAGGCGGCAGAAGGGCGGATATTCCCCGCGATTTTTAGTAAGTGAAGCAGGTGCGATGGACGAGCGTCCGCTTCGAACTGGAAGGACCTCATCCGATTACGGAGTGCAGGATGATAGTGTACTGTACAGTTCAATGTGTAAGGGGGCTGCTGACTGGACAGGACGGTACTGTAGTAAAAGGCTGGGTCTCAACTTCGGTACAACTACCGGCAAACAATAATAATTACTGACGGAGTAATATAGCGGCCGGAGCGAAAGCCGATCGATGATGGGAAAAGCGGGGATCGGGGATAGAATTGAGACTCATCAGTCAAACCAGTCCGCAACCCTAAGCCCTAAGTCTCCCTTCCTGGCCCAGACTTGTCTCCTCTCTAGTACTAGTCTGGGGTCGAACGACATCGACATCATCAATCATCAACGCGGCAACCCATCAGCATCTCCCCGTTGCGATATCCTCCACTCGCCTCTGTTGATCTGGACTCTTCTTATTTCCCAAGATACATTTGTCACTTATTTCCCCTCATTTACTGTGCTACGTCTGTCGATCATTACAAGGTGTTCTCTACTCAGTTGTCGATCTCTTATTATTCTCAGAATTCCATTACCCCTCCGCCGTCAGAGGCCGTCCTCCGGATGCTGGCATCTTTTTGTATGCGCCTTTCTTAAACGTCCTCTGTGCAGCGTCTTACTACATACCCTGAGACTCTCAGCTTCACTCCTTTAATTAATAAGTGTCTCGGTATTTGCTGTTCAAATGGGCAACAATCCTTCCAAGGGCCCGGCCGGAGATGCCCAAATCCCCTCGGGTCACTCGGGCCTAACGGCACCCGCGAGTGACAAAAGGGTACATCGTCGACCTTCGGTCAATGCCTCATCGGGTACCACTAAGGCTTCCGCAGCCGATTCTCCGGCCACCAGAGAGACCGCAAAGGGTTATCCAACATCGCAAAGCCACCATTCGGTTCAACAACGCCTACAATCCCGCAATGTCGCCGACTCCGCAACAAGAACCGCAGATCGTCCGACTCCCAGAAAAGCAGACCTTCGCGATGGTGACATCCCTTCGCCTGACCCTTCTAACCCAGTACAAGTTCCTGTTTCTCGAGCCACTGCTAGGAACGACCCCATGGCGCCCTCTGGAGCGCCGCCAAATGTATATTACAGCGCCTCCGTTCATCTCCAGCGCCCTCCGCGAATGCCGCTACCCATTGGCGATGCTACAGCTGTTGGTCGAGAAGATGGTTATATGGAGTCGCTGCCCGTCGACCAGCTTTTGGACGAACATATTGAGCAAAGGCACCCGAGTCAAGGAAGCACCACTGTGGAGGATGATGAGATATTGGACGAGCTTCAGCCTTTTACGCCTAGCGGAGTGGGAAGGGCAGTGCCGACTACCATTGAGTGGACCGGGCCTGGAGACAAGGTCTATGTAACTGGAACATTCGTGAATTGGGAGAAGAAGTTCCGTCTACACAGAAGGTACGTGACTATCACCGCACGGGTCTCAGCACCGATTGCTCGATCTCTGCCAGCTCGTATGTTGTTTTGAACTGTGGTGCTTTGGCTAGAGGACTTGCGGCTGCCGCTTTCCATCGTCACTAGCTACCTGGCTTTCGAGGACTGATGAATTATCTCTGGAGCAGTGAGAACAACTCAGGTGTCATGTCAGCTAGATTAAATCTCCGTCCGGGTACCCATCATCTTAAATTTATTGTCGACAACGAAATGCGGGCTTCTGATACTCTTCCGACGGCGGTGGACTTCACGAACCACTTGGTCAACTATATCGAGATCAGTGCCGATGACATTAATCGGGGGCGGAGAGAGAGCGACAAGGGCTCGGTTCCCCCGGGTATTCGTCCGCCTCAGGTCCTACCTGACCCTGCCACTCCCGATCAGGAGGGTGGTTCCACCGTGGATGATCAATCTGATAAAGAAGAGCCAGAGGAGGAGATACCTCTTGGTGATTTCCGCGGTGTTATTCCCCAGTTTCTTCTCGACCTGGACAAAGAAGAGGAAGCGCCCGAGTATCAGCAAGCTGTCAATATCGTTGGGGATGCTCCAACGCCACCAAGTCTACCACTCTTCCTCGGGAAGTCCATCCTGAACGGCACTACACCGATGAAGGATGATAGCAGTGTATTGAACTATCCCAACCACACGGTGCTAAACCATCTTGCCACAAGCAGCATCAAGAACGGTGTTTTGGCCACTAGTGTGACAACTAGGTACAAGCGAAAGGTAAGTCCATCGTCTGTAATTGGTATTCTTCTCCTAGTGTTCCTTGTATGATATTGACTCAAGCTTGTGCAGTATGTTACGACAATTTTGTACAAGCCTACAGGAGATATCTCGGAGTAACTACAGATAGAATCGACTCCTTTGACTGCTCTCTCCACTGCATGGCCCGAACAGTGTGAGTATTGACTCGGTATCCAAACCCACGGGGAAGTCTGTCTTATGCAGCATGGAGCTCGCTGTAAAACCCATCCATATGAAATAGATGATTTGAGAATTACGGATATTTGACTTCCATTGCGTTTTATTGCCAAGAAGTCTAGAGTACCATAGATCCACATATAATTGGACATGCAATCCAAGCACACTAGGTCTTGAATACCCCCGATCTGCTTGGGACAATAAACCTGAGATGCAGGGGTCTGCTTCCCTGCTCGATGTTGCTCTGTTATTGAGGTGGTGTATGACTAGTGATTAGAATCGGCTGATAACTGAGCCCTCCTGAGTGCCGGCCAACGGTCCTGTGGTACCTTGGCGTTCTCGCCTTACTTCATACAAATAGTTGTGTGATGTATCCTCGAAACAAGCTTCTACCCGGTTCCTCGATATCGAAGCGGGGCCGGTCAGTCCGCAAATGACACATTATCCCCACAGCTTCCGGCGCAAAACTATCTGGGTCTTGGTTGTAGTCTTTGATATAGAAATAGAAGGAGCGATCAGTCGGTGAGTGATTGACTACTCATCTTGCAGTGTCAACCTAAGTATGGCTTTCAAGCGCCGAACCCTGCGGCATCGTTCAAGACATTTGTCTAAGTTCTATTACTTATATCATGAGAATCATAACTCTTAATCAGATCGGCACACGGTTCAATCCCTCCATTTCACTAGGACCTCATCCGTGCGGAACCGTTGCGTACAAGTGGCGTCCTTGAGCGGCGTCCGGAAGCCAGTTTTGTAGGCCATCAGACCGGCCTGGGCAATCATAATGCCGTTGTCGATGCAGTATCGCTCATCCGTGGCATGTACGGTGCCCCCGCGGTCGCGAGCCATGATACCCATCATCTCTTGCAACCGTTCATTGCATCCCACCCCACCGACAATCAGCACTTCCTTCGATCCAACATGCGCCATCGCACGTTCCGTGATCTCCACCAGCATAGAATAGACGGTTTCCTGCAGTGAGAAGCACAAATCCGCACGAGTCGGCTTCCCATCGTCTGCTTCCCCTTGGGCAGAGTCCGCGCTGTCATCTTTTTCGTCCCACTCCCCATTGAGTCCGTACTGGACGGCCAGCGCATCAATCGCTGCCAAAACTCCAGACATGGAGATGTCCATTCCCTTGACGGTGTAGGGCAGATCCACGAGTCGCTTGCCCTTCTTGGCCAACTGTTCAATATTATAACCCGGCGCAGGGTCATTGGAGATGTGTAGTGTGCGTGCGAAGCGGTCCAGACAGTTTCCGACGGCGATGTCAAGGGTCTCGCCGAAGATGCGGTACCTCTGCGAGCTGTATGCGATCACTTGGGTGTTTCCGCCGGAGACGTAGAGGACGACTGGGTTCGTGGCGCCGGTGATGGCCCGACCCATTTCAATGTCTGTTCAAGCTTAGGGTTAGCGACGCGGCGGTGGATCAAATTGCGGCTTTTTGTGATCAAGATCTCCAAGGAGGGTCAAGGGTGGGTAAAAGAAAAGGGGGGAGGGGGGCAGATGAAGAGTTGGAGATATTAGACGGGGGCCAATGCGTCGCGTCTTTCCCCACATGGCACCCCTATGGAAGAAGATCTTGATAACGGGCTTGCAGAGATGACGACGTTGTACTTACGTCCAACACAGTGGTTGACTCCCACCAGCTCCTTGCCCCAAAGTAGACTCAACATGCGCGCGGCAATGGCACAACTCTGCAAAGGGGCGCCCATGCCAGGACCCTTGGTGTAACAAATACAGTCAACATCCTTGACGGAGACCCGCGCATCTTGCAGGGCTTGCTTGACCAGTTTCACCACCCAGGCGCGATGGTGGCGGGCAGTGTCCTTGGGTAGGAAGCCCTCTCCGGGAGGAGTGACATAGGTGTGCCGCACGTTCGCAAGCACCTGCGGGGTGCTGCCATCCTCCGGGTGGAAGATAATGCCCACTCCGACTTTGTTGGCAGAGCCTTCGATTCCGACGGCAATCATGGTGGAAGGCGCAGCGCAACGCAGATGTAGAGGAGTATAGAATGACTAGGGTTTCTGCGCAAAAAAGATCCCAAATCGATTGAACGATTTGCAAGCTAAGCCGACAGATCACCGCTTCGGAGAAGCTGTTCAAAAAAATGAATCGCGAAGGCCGCCGGGTCGAGCTGAGCCAGTGATGGAGGGGCAAATTCGGGCCTGGTTCGGCTTTATCAGCAACGTTATCGATTGGTCGCCAGAGTTTGGGACGGCAAATCCGCCGCAGCGTTTATCCGGCGGTACAGACAAAGTACTAAGGTAGTTAGAACTAAGAACTGCCTGTCACTCAACAGTGGTAGGTTAGTACGGAGGGGGAGAAAGTTAGGACTACTCGGTCTATCAGCGTCGCTAAGTTAACTACTAACTAATTACTCAGGTCTACTTACCCACCCCCCATTTTCTCCCATTCTCTCTTCACCTTCCCCCCCCTCCTCCTTCTCGTGACACTTCTATCAACCACGCCATACCTTTCTCCATCCTCTCCCCCCTGTTCTCTTGGGATTCATTTCCGTCTCCCCTTGAAGTTCCGCGGCCGCTAGACGGTGGGGGGTTGCTCAATTTCCTTTTTCTTTGGTGTGACAGCCAATTCACACCACACAACTTGACCTCTTGTCGTCCCACATCATGTCCTCCACTACCCATTTTCCAGACGCAAACCACTTCCAGCAACAATCAGATGAGTTCATCACCTGGCTGTCTAGTCTCCCGGGCGTCAAGTTGAACCCTAAGATTCAGATCGCTGATCTGAGGGCCAGCGGCGCCGGCCGAGGTGTCGGTATGTTTCCCACCCTCCTTAAAACGAGATTTTTGTTCCGCATGGGTCTTATCTCATTGTATGCCTGCTTTGTGGAAGTCTTCCCCTCTCTGATATTCTCGTGTCCCTCTACCAGTGGCTCGACTCGATCTCGAAGAAGGCGAAGAGCTTTTCACCATCCCCCGCGCCCATGTCCTCTCCGTTCAGAATTCGAAGTTGAAGGGCCTGGTCTCCCACGACCTGGAGGAACTTGGGCCATGGCTTTCTCTCATGGTGGTCATGATCTATGAGTATCTTCGCGGTGATCAGTCCCCATGGGCGCCGTACTTCAGAGTCCTTCCTCGGAATTTTGACACCCTGATGTTTTGGTCCCCAGCCGAACTTGCGGAGCTTCAAGGCAGCGCCATCGTGAACAAGATCGGACGACAGGGCGCAGAAGAATCCATACTCAAGACCGTAGCCCCCATTGTACGGGCAAACCCTTCCCTGTTCCCTCCCATCGACGGTTTAGCCTCTTTTGAAGGAGATGTCGGTACGCAAGCTCTCCTCCACCTGGCTCATACCATGGGGTCGCTTATCATGGCCTATGCATTTGATATCGAGAAGCCTGAGGATGAGGATGAACGCGATGGAGAAGATGGCTATGTTTCAGACGAAGAGGAAGGACAGTCGTCTAAAGGCATGGTCCCTTTGGCCGATCTGCTCAACGCAGATGCCGATCGAAACAATGTAGGTGACCTTCCATCTATTATGGGGAGCCTCATAGCCCTAACTAATGCGTCTATACAGGCTCGCCTCTTCCAAGAAGAAGAGATTCTTGTTATGAAAGCTATCAAACCTATCGGAGCTGGCGAGGAGATTTTCAATGACTACGGAGAGACTCCCCGGTCAGACCTCCTACGACGGTACGGGTATGTCACCGACAATTATGCTCCGTTCGATGTCATCGAGGTATCCCTCAGCAATATATGTCAGGCAGCGGGTCTTTCGAGTGCTGATGTTGAATCGCAACCTCCGGTATACTCCTGTTTCCAAGGTCTGCTGCTTCCAACATGCCCATGCTAATGTTTACCCTAGCTCCGGTTCCTAGAAGAGTTGGAACTCCTTGATGACGGCTATGCCATCCCAAGACCCTCCCCTGAAGATCAGTTGACAGACATCCTCCAGGATGAATTGCTTCTGTTGCTCAAGACTCTATCGCTGTCGCCAGAACTTCTGCAGAAGCAGATGTCCAAGAACAAGCCTCCCAAGCCGACATTTGGCGAAGTCGAAGCTACCATACTTGGTAGAGCGCTGGAGCTCAACCAAGCGCACTACCCAACAACCATCGCACAAGACCAGGAGCTTCTCGCTCAATTGAGCCAGCCAGCCGCCCTCAGCCCTGCTGATACATATATGCGCCGCAAGGCGATGGCTATTCAAGTCCGCCTTGGCGAGAAAGAAGTTCTGCAAAGTCTCTTTACGATGCTCAACAACCAAATCAGCAATCAGGCCAACGGGTCCGCGGCCAAGCGCCCTGCCAACGACGACCACGACGAATCGAGACGCCCCAAGGCTTTCAGATCTTGAAGCTCTTGATTACCCCTCATCTTTGACTATATTCGAAATTTACAGAAAAGTCTTCATTTTCTTTTTTCTTTCATCTTAATTGATATTATTCTTGTTTTCTTCGTTACTAACTTCGTCGCTTCGCTATTCGTACAGAGTCTATCGACTGCTCAAGTGAAGAAAGAGAAAGAGGGACAGAACAGGCTATGTACAGTGGCAATTGCATAAGATCAGGGGTCATGTCATAAGAAAAGCGCATCAATCCGGCGACGTTATCCCGGATCTCATATGCTTCCCCGCGTTTCAGGAAAAATAAAAGGGTGATGAGGGTATGGCGTGAGTAAAAGTACAGGTAAGGTAAAAGGGGAAATGACAGGTGACGCCTGCCAGATGCTGAACATAGGGTTGAAAAAGATTAAAAGGATACGGGGTGGAAAATCAAGATGTGGGAGAGGAGAAAACGAGAGAAGAGATCCAGCTCACATCTCAAGACGTGGAGACAGCGGCACCAGGCCCGGGATTAGATCCCCCTGCTTGCCCCCTGCTTGGTGAATTGCTGCTGGCCGTGGTCTGTTCGGCCTGCAACTTTCGTTGAGCTTGGGCCTGGGCCTGGGCTTGAGCTGCCTGCGCCTGCGCATGAGCTTGAACCGCTGCCGCTGCTGCTTGATCGCGAGCTTTTGCCGCCATGATGGCTCGATGTTGCATGATCTGGATATCGAATTGGTCCCTCTCATAATCGACCTCCTCATCTGAATCTTCCTGATCGTACTTGAATCGATCAGCCTTCCACGGATCCAGTTCAACTCTACAACGAGCCGCAAGGTTTCGGCGATCGATGAACAAACGACCCCCGCGTCCTATACGTCTCCGGAATGAGGGCATCTTGCTCGTGTCCTCGCTCAGTTCCATGGCATGGGGGGCTAATTTATTCGGGAGGGCAATGGCACTGCGGGTATCTATGGCTGAATCCGGCATGTTGTCGGATGACTCCGACGATGGTGGCGTCGGTAACTGGGTGGTGATTGCAGGGCGGAATGCAGCATCGAACGTCCGATCAGGTGACGGGGAGAGCGGTGCTCGTGTGAAATCCACATAACCCTCGTTCCACTTGATGTGCTTCGTGATGTTCTGCTTGATGTCGCGGATGATCTCGTTTTCTTTCTCCGCTTGGACATCGTCCAGTAGCTGCAGGTCTTCTGCTGGCTGCGTGGCCGCCTTGGGGGGCATGCGCAGCTGGGGAGGTGCTGGGCGCTGCACAGCAGGTGCCTCTATCGGCTTCTTCTTGGGCTGGTGGCATGGTCAGTATATATGGCTTGGAAGCAGGTCATGATCATTCTTACTCTCTGGTTGATAAGATCCTCGTCGTCGTCCTTGATATTGAGTTTCCTCTTCATATCCTTGACCTCGGATCTCTGCAGGAAGACCTGCCGTTCGACGGCGAGCATCTCCTTGCGCGCCAACTCACGCTGACGTACAAGTGCAACCAACTGCCGAGCATCTTCCAGTTCCTTTCTGAGCCGTCGCAGTTTGTCCGCACTTTGCGCATCTCTGCCACGAGTCTTGCGGGTCTGCCGCACTTCGCGCCTTCGGAAGCAGACGTACGGGTCGGTATCATCAGCTTCCCGACCAGCTTCAGCCTGTAAACTGTTAGCGGATCGGATAACCTTTGCCGCTTCTTGCGCCAGGGACTCACCTTTGGTGTCGGGAGCAGAGGCTCATTCCCACCGCTGATGCGTCGCGACTTCCAGTAGTCATATATGTCCTTGGCGAAACGCTTTACGCTGTCGTCTACGGCTGGATCCATCGCCTCCTGGAATTCTTCGAAACTCATGACCGGAGAGTTATCTACACAAGCATACGGCTGCTCTTTCCTCGACGTCAATTCGAGGAAGCTCATGACTTCCTCGAAGTTGTCTTCTGTGCATTGGTTGGCGGCATCGCGCTTTTGGTTGAAGTTCTTAAGGAACACATCATCGTCCTCGTTCATGCAATATGGAGGTCCGCAGCAGTCCTCGACGGTGGAGGAGAAGCGGATGTATGTCGCTGGCTGCGAGAAGACTGGAGGGTAGAGCTCGTCATATCGGAGGTTACTGAGGATGGTCTCCGGGGTCGGAATATGGGCATCTTTTACTTTGCCCTGGGCGGCGGCACTGATAGCGACCTGCAGATGGAATTCCTGTAGAACGTAGGCGTCAGCGGGCTGTGGTTGTGGCCTGGACTGGCGGGTGCAAAATTTTCACGACGGGTGAGGTTCGCGATGATGTCACGTGACATATGCAGGGATGCTAGCGGTAGATGGGGGAGAACACGACTCACCGACTCCTCCGCCTTCTCGACACCGGTCTCAATCTGCTGAAGGGCATTTTGAATCTCATCCTCGATAAGATCTATCTCATGTTCGCGGACTATGGGGATGGAGGCCTTGGAGGTGAGCTTTTTCGGGCGCGTCCTCCCCATACCCCCGTACCTAGTCATACGAACTTTGGGGCGCGAGATCGGCCGCTGACCATGGGATGGGGAACCCAAAATTGGTATCAGTAGATAGGTCTGATCATGCGAAAGCACGTAGACGTATTTTTGTGATGGCAGTGGATGGTTAAGGGGGGGATATGGACGATGGAAATCTCGTAGTCTTTGCACTGGCGGATGAGTTGACGTTGCAATGTCACCCGGCAGTGGCCTGTTTTGGACCGGTGCACGGCCTCAGGGGTTCGCTTGCCTGTCTGTTTCGGGTTAGTGCGGGGCTGGTCGATATCAAAGTGCCGTTTTGGTCTGTGTCGCCTGCCGGGGGAGTCTCCTCTGTTCTCCGTCCCTCTCGCTCCCTCCCGCATTCGGCATTCATCTACTCCGTACTTATTGGAGTAAATCTAGTTCTTGTGCAGCTTTCTGATTGCCTCGTTTCTTTCACCGGTTGTGGTTCCTGGTTGAATCGCGTTGAACAGACAAGAATTTCATTGGCCATTAACACCCTTTCCCCTTTACATTCCGCTCAAAACATAAGCCCACACTATGGACCATTCCAGTGAGCCCAACAATGCCGCCCTGTACGATGCGCGCCGCCGCAGGGGCTCGGTCGGCACCTCTCAGCTTCTCGACAACATAGTTTCTGCCTCCAACTGTGGGTCAAGCCTTTCGAGAGAACGGTTATCGTGTAAAACTAATGAAGTGTAGTCGATCGTGATGAAGTTGACCGTCTCCGCAAGCGCTTCATGAAGCTGGATAAGGTTTGTCTTGATCGTGCGGCGTCTTACATGTGACTCCATTCTGACACAACTCTGTGTGATTCAACAGGATAGTTCCGGTACTATTGATCGCGATGAATTCCTTTCTTTGCCTCAAGTATCATCCAACCCGCTCGCCACGAGGTACTTCGTCCTCTCCCTCACTTTCCTTTGAACTACCATGCCTGATGCAATTCACACCCCCGCTTCACTTCTGCCGCCTTACCCCACTATCATCTCACTACCCACCCCAGAGATCCATCACAGACTCTAACTTCCACCGAAAAAAAAGAATGATCGCCATCTTCGACGAGGACGGTGGCGGCGACGTCGACTTCCAAGAATTCGTTTCCGGGCTGTCGGCCTTCAGCTCCAAGGGCAACAAGGAGGAGAAGCTTCGGTTTGCATTCAAGGTGTACGACATCGATCGTGACGGATACATCTCCAACGGCGAGCTCTTCATCGTCCTGAAGATGATGGTCGGCAACAACCTGAAGGATGTGCAGCTGCAACAGATCGTCGACAAGACGATCATGGAGGCCGATAAGGATGGCGATGGGAAGATCAGCTTTGAGGAGTTTACGGAAATGGTGGAGAATACGGACGTTAGTTTGAGTATGACGTTGAGTATGTTCGCCCACCTCTTTTGGTTCTGCTTTGTCGACCGTTTTGATCCGGGTGGTGCTAACTTGCCGGGGTGGTAAAGATTCCATCTAGTCGTTGGTCGGATGCTAAGTGGTGTGTACCCATGACTTTGGAAGTCGAGAGGGTGGTGTGTCTTTGATCTCAATTTCATGGGTATCTTGTTCCCGTGTGTGTGTGCGCGTGCGCGCGTGCGTGTGTGTGATACGATAATTCGTGATTCCCTTTCTCGTCTCTGCGCTGTTATCTTTCCCCTCGAATTATTACCCTTTGCGATTCGACATGGAACTTGACCTTCATTCTTGCAATCTCCTGCTACCGCTACAACTGCGACTGCGACTGCGATCGCGGCTGCTATCTGCCCTGCATCTCGACTTCGCCAACCTCAACTGAACTAACGAACGACTCCCTCCAAGCTCCACCGCTTCGCTTTGACATGATTATGATAGCGATGACGGACCCCCTCACCCCTCGAGCTCTTTCGCCTGCATAGACCAATCCTCCGCTTCGCTTTCCGCCAGCGCCCTTGCCTTTACGATCTTTGAACTAGCAATGCAGTGCATGAATACTTCTGGGGTTGGGCTCTATTCCTCGTGCCTCCCCCCCCTGGATTCGGAGCAGGAAGGGGCGAGTGTAAATAGGAATGGCTAATTACATACGTTACTATTAGCGAATATGTTTTTCATACGAAGTCTTGCTGCATCAAAATCATGGTCTGCGGGCATCTGCTCCTAGAATCTGGGTAACTTCGCATAGATGATAAATATCAACCAACCCAGAGAACAAAAACCGCCCATGGGCTGAAGACTAACTACCTTAAGCACCTTGTCTGCGCGGAAGCAACCTGGACAGCGCCCTAAGATAACCTAACCAATAGCAATACCAGTTAATCATCAAGGAGAGAGAGGTAACTTGACTCCGAGCATGCGTAGTGTGACTAGGTAGTACTTGGAGGGGCACAACGGGATTCGATTAGCTGAAGCTAACGACAACGTTCAGCTCCATGTCGCTCTTGTGGAGTCACGGTTTTGCAGGCTGGCTCATTCGACGCCCCAAGTAGATCAGAGGAATCTGGGTACGCGTATTCAATCAGATCGGAACCGGGTTCCCAGATGCGGCGAATGTATAGCTCCTGATTTCCCCTCAGGGTTGAGGTTCATCAATCTACTCTATCAGGCAAGCAAGACTAGGATACTAAGTGATTTCAACGAAGGGATAGTAATCAACCTACTATACTATTATGACTATCCTGAGTGCTCGAGCTGGATCGCTAGAAGAGGATATACGGTTCACACCCGATCTATGTACAGTATTCTAGAAAAAGATTACCAGTAACTAGTAACCAGGACCCTCTCGGCCCTCCCCAGCATCAAATCCTCGACGGTCTGGATCTGAATCTTGATCTGCTTTTCCGCTACTAGGATAAAGTTCACGATCGCCACGCGGTGAACCCCACACACCCACTGTCCTGTTGTACACGAGTCCGCTTGTCCTCCATGACACCCCTTCTCCTCGATGTCAATCATCGTCTCGGCGATCTTCGCGGCGACCATCCCCTCGCAGATCCCCTCGCGGCGCGGGTATCGCTGAAGTAAGCGTAGTGCATTGCGACGGACTGTGGGTTCCCTGCAGCGAGTCGCAATGAGAAACAATGGCTCGGCCACGGTGGTTGACAGACAGAAGTTGGGATGTGAGGTGTTTTTGCTCGCTTGAGGGGTCGAGTTCAGGTCATCTAACAGCTTCGTGGCCAGATTGAGCATGCGCTTGTAATCTTCGAAGAAGTCGTCATGGCACAGCTCGCCTTTGGTGAAATCGAGGGACAGGAACACGTGTGCGAAGATGCGACGGATGTAGAGCAGGTCGAGGGCCCCGTCATCTGTCTCGGAAGGAGCCGCGCTGGATACAAAGCCGCTCAGCCTGACGTCCCACTGTTCGAAGTCGTCGGCGCATTTCTGCTTCTTGACGAGGTTCTCAGCAACGCGAGCGGGGTTGGCGAATTCCTTGCTCATCATGAGCCGCATCAGACTGTTGAAGTGAACTTCTAGGGAGAGATATGCGTCCAGCAGGGAGCGGAATGGCTCCTTGGCGGATGACAGGACGATTTGGCTGTCTGTCCACTGGAAATTGTTCCTTTGGTTGGGGAGGTATGGGCGGGCTTGGGTATCGAGTTGCGTAAAGGCCACCAGTAACAGATCGATCTCCCGATCATGGTCTAGTCTTTTGCTATTCCTGACTCCCAAGTCCCAGTGATGGAACATCTTGAGACCCGAGTTGATATGCACAAAGGCCTGCCATTGACGGCCCTGTAGACTCGCCATGCAGGTGAACAAGAGACAGGTGCTGAGCGCCACTACTTTGTCCAGACGCGTCACACTGGGCCTCGAAAGCAGCTCTCGGAGTGATTGGATGGATTTGTTGAATTGCACCAAGGCGAAACCCATGTTCGGAGTGTCGCCGACCCGTGCGACGGTGCTCGGGGTTCGATCAGTCACAAAGTCGTGGTGTACACATGCCAGCGCGGTCATGGCATGCCAGAGGGCTGGATACTGGTGCGCCAGCTGGAGCAGTTTGCCGGTCCAGAAGCCAATATCGAAGAAGCCCGCTAGGTCCGGGGTGGTGACGGAGCGGAAGAAAGCAAAGTTCTCGATCTCGATCGTGTTGCCGGAGACCTGTTCCCAGACCGAGGGCATCTGCACCAGGTTTGGTGGCTTGATCATCTGCTTGAGAGCAAGATCGCCGTAGCCATCGCAGTTTCTTCCGGTCGATGTGCATCTCGTGCAGCTACCATGTTTGTGGGCGTCAGACCGGGCTGCAACAGCGAGATTCACTTGATCGAACCGGATATATCTTTCTCTCACCTCGGTTTCGTCTCGTCACACTTGATGCGTCGTATCCTTAGGAGGTCAGTGGGCACTTATTTCGGAGTCATTCGATCTTCCCACGAGGCATACCTGCATGTTATACAACCCGATTTGACTTTCGGGGCCCACTGTTTCAGCCTTACCCTGCCGGACTTGTTTAAACGAGAAGAACTTTCTCCCATCGCGGTGGGCGCCATTAGACTGATTCTATGGCAACGATAGTGGACCAGCAAACAACCACCAGGTCAATGCAGGTGAGCATAAACGAAATGTCCTCTTAGGCAGCTGGCGCCAAGCCAGACTGTCGGTGAACCAGGAATAAATAAATACGACATGCAGGTAGAGACATGATGATTTGAGGAGGAATTAAGCCACTGAGCATGGTATGATTGGAAAAGACAAGCCATGAAGCCGAGGGATCCGCTGCATCCTAGCGTCTGGGCGATCGCTGAGAATGGAAGGAGAATCGCTCGGCTTGAAGTGATAAGATCCGCTGTCACAAAGAAATGACGGGGTCACGTGTCCTACGGATTTAGTCTTCTCCACATCTCATTCCATGTCCGCTATATACGAGTATATCAAAAGATCTCTTCCTTCCAGGTCCCTGAGCCTTAGTCTCCTGGCTATAAACCACTTTCTCAGACGGCAGTCTCTCACCCACTTCCCACCTCGAACAAGCATCCTTGAAGACGTCATCAGTCGAGTTCGAAACACCTCCGTCCAAGCGTCATCCCAAGACTTCAAGGGCGCGAGAAGTCACCAGCAGCAATGCACAGTGTAATATAAGCTAACTTAGCATCCACCAAAGCCATGACTTGAGGTTCGAAGCTGAGCACTGACTTCTTCGGTGCATCCCGCGGCAAGTAAGTCTCAGTACTTGGGAATGAAGTTGCCGGCCAACGCAAGCTCACCTGCATCATCCCGTTTATCAAATACTGCATGCGTTTGTAGGTTACTATATTGACGTAGGCATCCATTGCATTAACAATAGTGATGTCTCATACAGTAGTCAGCATGAGGGATTCTTGGTTGTCTGGCACCTGGTGGACTTATACTCCTCGTCTTCACTAACCATTGAGCTGTCTCGCATTAAGTTAGTTGCTGGAAGGGTTCTAGTTCTAACAACCACGTCCATGTCGTTCTACATCTCGACCTTAGCTGGGCGCTCGGATCATCGAAGCACAGTGCTGCTCTGATGGTCGTGCAGACTATACTTACTCATTCTTGATTTTGGGAAGCAGTCGATCTCAGTACACCCTGTCGTCCACGAATACCCCTTGGAGAAGTGAGGGTAGACCTGAGATTTGATATCGCATGAAGCTGTAGGTGACCATGGTACAGCAGCACTGGATGAAGGTCCTATTTCTGCCCCAGAGCATATGCAGATGAAATGGAATGGCCTTAGCCCTCGTTATCGTCGCACTGCCGCTCAAGCTCATTGATGTATATGTAGATGCAGCTTGATCACCAGTGTGGATGAGGATGTAGTCCGATTGACTATGACCGAGGACTGTCAGTGAACCAATTCATCCGTAGTGATATGTAGTGCCCAGGCCCAAGTCTACCTTTCATGTGATTATCCTACAAAATAATCACGGACAATCTAACCCAAAGAACAGCTCAAAAAGTTCAGCCTGATCCCCTGCCCCTACGGAAAACACAAAACCAATCCACCAGACCCCAAATCCAGCATACCCTCCAACATGATCTACTCCCCCAATCGAACCGAGCTCCCCAGCCAAACCAAGGCACCGTACTTTATCACATCAGTCAGGCAGATTCACGCCCAACCCGCGATCCACGAGGTGACTCCACCCACGATTCCCAAACCAGGTACCTCCGAGACCCTAGGTACTAGTGATCGCCCTAAGATCCTTCCTGGGGGCTGAAAAGGAAAGAATCAAATAAACGGAAATTATTCGATGGAAAAAAATATCATAGTCCCAGGAACCGGGATGACTCTCGGACGGGAGGAGATCTAGACGAGATGTCAGATTCCTTTCCCCTTTCCCCTTGCCCCCCCCCCCCCCCCCCCCCCCCCCCCCCCCCCCCCCGCAAACAAAAAAAAAAAAAAAAAAAAAAAAAAAAAAAAAAAAAACCTCCCCCCCCCCCCCCCCCCCCCCCCCCCCCCCACACCACCATCACCACTCCATCGGGATGATCTGCTCGATGCTTGCGATGCTTGCGTGGCTCTTCTCTACTACCCTTCCGGGGGGGCGTGGGCTAGGAGTCACGGGGCTGCGGAGATATGACCGGATCGGAAACAGATCGATCCCCTGAGCGTTGAGTATAAGTACATGATCTACTCGATCGAAGGCAACATATGCTCATTGTTCCGCTGCTTGCCTCATGCTGGAGGCAAGATCCAGTTTAGCGCCTGCCTCGATTCAGGAACAAGAAGCCCCCCCCGGGGGGGGAGGACACATGGCGATATCCATTCTATCGACTCGGTTCGATCAACCAACCATGTTTCCTCGATCTGGAGGGATCGTAATGTGCAAAAAGTACGGGAATCTTGGGGCAACAAGTATACTGTACGTATCGCAAGAAGAAAAAACGAATTCCGGACCTTTGCCATCTCTTCTGGCTGGTTTTGGCGTTCGCGAACTGCTCTCGATACTTTTTCGGAAATGCTGGGTGGAGATATGCATCCACTGAGCGGATGTTCTGAGATCCGGGCTGAACAAGCGAACCGCCCATTTACGGGCCAATCTATGTACTTTCCGTATTCAGAATAGGTTGATTGTTCAAGAGAGTCAAACCTACCACCCATATTTTACCGAGGGCTCGATCAGAGAAGTGAAGGTGGAGGCACAGCTTTCCGGCGTCAACTGGCTACCGAGATGAAAGGAACACATGTGAAATAGGTATGTCCAGTGGCTATGTTGAGATGAGTACTGTATAGTAATATGTGAGAGGATAAATATCTATAACCGCATTTTCGAATGCGCCTGCTCCCCCTTTCGTTCGTTCATCCATCCATCGTTCATCCTATATGTGAAACATTAACTTCATAATAGAAAAGTGACCCGTGTGCTGCGTGACGGTGGTATCTCCTCAGCCCTGAACGCCAGAACAACAAAAAAAGTGATTTTGCAATTGCGTGTTCGTGTAAATCAGCGCTTTTTCTTCCACTGCTGTCGGCCTAGACAAAAAAAAAGGACCATTGTAGATAGTCGGGTTTGATCGGTCTTGGTACCTGACAAGGAGGCATGAGGATAATATTTCCGAGAAATCCATGTGGGCTTCAGCCTCTGGGAGTGAGCCAGCGGGGCTAGGTCAACCACCAACCCCGAAGGAATAGGGATTAAATTGGTGGTCTTACCCGGGGACCAGATTTTATGGAGCCCGACCGCAAGTCGAAAGTACTCATAAAAGGTGGAGGACATGAGAGCCGGACAGTAAGACTGTCAATCGATAGTTCGTCGCCCCGGCCTCGCTCCGGCAGGAGCTAACTAATTTAGTACCTGCATTAGAGGGGCCTTCCCCAAAAGTACGCGGGCCCTAAGTCGAGCTCGGTCTCAGGTGTCAGGTCAATGTCGCTACTCGCTAGTGGAGGTCCGCGACATTCAGGAGATTTGAGCTTCCTGGTGGATCACCGGGAGGCTACAGTTACTGCGTGCGAACGGAAGAAGTCGAGCCGGTCTTCCACAATATCGAGACATTGGCCTAGGACTGCCGCATCGATCATTAATTAAACTTCTTGTCTCCGATTGATGTTTCGATTGGCAAACACTTACCAGAGAGAATCTCTTCCTCCCAGATCCCAAGCTGATAATCGACGAGTCCATGCTGTTCCATTCGATCGCATAGCTGGATCAGCTCTTTACCCAGGTTGTCCATGGCTTCATTGCTGAGGAGACTGGTCTGTGGTGGCTGACGTCCTGTCTGGAACAGTTCCTCGGCCATGTCTTTTTGCTTTTGGCAGAGGGCAAGCCAGCAGACATTGAAATCATTCCAGAGTTGTAGTCGATCGGCGTAGAATGTCTGCTCATCTTGGAGCACTCCTATACATTGCTGACCATCAGTTTCACAATCCGCAAGGGCACTTGCTCAGCCGCCCCACCCTACCCTATCCTCTCCGTGGGCTGATGCCAGCAGCAGACGACCATGTACCTTTGATTATCAAGGTGATTCTAATTACTTATGCAGTACATGCATGGCGTGGACCGGTCCAGGAGAGAGGAAGGTGGAGTCTAGACTGGCGAGACCCGCTGGGTTGGACGCTAAAGGAAAACATACCGAGCTCCCGCGCATTAGTCACAAGCCATTCGGAGATTTCTAAGAGTGATCGGCTGGCCTCCACCAATCGGCCAGCGCGCGTATTGTCAAATGTTCCTTGCACCGCGCATTGAAATTGTGCATACACTTCCCTCACGTTGGCTGATTGGAAGTCCGTCCGTGGGATCTGTTGGAGCTGTTGTTGTGGTTGTTGCGATGGTGGTGGTTGCGGTTGTTGCGGTTGTTGTTGTTGATGTTGTTGTTGCGGTGGCGGCGGGGGCGAAGGCTGCTGCTGCTGCTGTTGCTGCTGTTGCTCCATTCGTTCGCCAGGGCCGATGGAGGTCAAACCGGCCATATTGGCTTGATAAAAGTGCGTTACGCTCGAGCGTCCCATGCCCCCTGGCGGCGGCGGATTATAAGCGGAAAGCGGGACTGTCGACGGCAAGTAAGGCGGCCCTACTGCTGGAACCCCAGTGCCTGTCGGTTCATTTGGAGGGAAATATTGTGGAACACCAAACTGGCTGGACAGGGCTTCCATCGCTGCAGATTGCCGTGCCGAGTATGGTGGTGGCACCACCTCGTACGTGGCTTGGGTTGGGCCCTGATGTCCACTGAGGTCGTATACCATTTCGGAGTCGTAGGAAGCTAAAGGCTGGTGCACTGACGGGTGCTGCTGGCGCTGTTGCTGGTCGCGCAACGTCGGGGGGTATGTTTGCAACTCGTTCCCCTGCAACGGACCGCCCTGGAAGGGACTCTCTGTGTATCCATAGTCCAGGTAGGTGGACATCCGGGGACGCCCCGTGGCGTGCGAGGATGCATCACCTCCACGTGCTGCTGATGGGGCCCCAGCCTGTCTGAACCGGTCCGCTGCACCACGACGGGACATCCCGGTTCTGGTTGCAAAGCGGGCATTTACATCATGCTGCTTCATGCGCAGGATATCGCCATCCATCCCCCGACGCACTGGATCGAGGTCAAAGGACCAATGCGCTGACGGGGACAAGGGCGGGCTTGCGTAAGAGTCCAGCTTGGCGAGAGATCGACCTTTGGGGGGGGTTTTTTTATTCTTTCAGTTTGAAGCAGAGTCACCGTCACTTGCAATCTCGCGCGCGTAGTCGCTTTGATTTGCTGGCAGGGAGTTGAGATTCAAGCCAACAAGATTCGCAGGTAAGCGCGCGGAGACCCCACGGTGTGTCACTTCCGCACAGGGACGCTGGTACAACCAGCCCACACGATCTAGATGGAACCATTTACGAATCAGCTATGTTCAATGTCAATCATCAAACTATTCGAAAACCACCTGCGCACCTGTGAGGGAAGACGACGCTTCCGCCAACTGGTTGGTTGGAAGCAGAGTATGTATGCTTTAGTCACACCGCCAGACAGTGATATTATGGCTAGATGTATATGTATGGTCGAGAGTGCAAGATCACCCGAGAAGAAGAACGAAACCCTTAACCGCAGTAAGCACCGTGCAGGAATGGCAGTGCAGGAAGGGTCCGCGTGGAAAGATGCAGGGGAATTATAACTCGAGAAGGAGGTGGGTGGAAGTAGAACCAATGAAGTTAGATGGAGTGGTGACGGCCCCTTTGTTTGCAGCCCAAAGGAAGATAGGTAGATATTGGGAGTCAATCTCAGTGGCTTGCTTGCTTGCTTGCTTGCTTCGGATCCCAGCTACTGAAATGGAGGGGCTGTAGAGTGGGGGAGGACCAGCAGCGGAGGAAGCAAAGGACTGGGATGCACGGATTACTTATAGTACAGTTCCCAGTAGCTGGAGGAACCTGTGAATCAGCCCCATAGCAAGGACAATCTTGATCCACTGAGACTCATCAAAAAGTCCTCTGGGGGCCGAGTGATTCAGGTCGTTCGGGTTCAGGTTAGCAGCATGTTGTGAACAATGGAACGGGCGTAGCGAGCGCCTGTATCAGGTTTCTGCTCGGGCTTCTCTTGCGCCTGCGGTGGGGAGCGGAGAGGATGATCGGAGAGAAGTATCCAAGAAAATTGAAAAAGCAGGAATCGGGAAGTGAAAAGAAGAAAAAAGCTGAATTAAAAAAAAATAAAAATAAAAAATAAGAATAGGAAAAAAAACAAGCAAGAAAAAGAATGATCCTCGCGAAGGGGAAGGGAGGAAGAATATCGTCACCGATCCACGAAGCGCGAGAAACGAGGAAGAAAACAAATGACACTAAAGAGAAAGGAAGGGAAAGCTGGAAAACTCACTGGACGGAAGGGGGGGGGACAAGAATTGGCAGATGGAGAAAGAGAGAAAAAGAAATGATGAGCAGAGAGCCTGTTGTCTAGTAGCATCTATCCCATCCATCAATCAGTCAAGTAGGCAATCAATCAATCAATCAATCAATCAGTCAGTCAGGTCAATCAAACTACTAGCTAGGACTGATAATGGAGACCATTTCACCCTTCCGGGATTGTTCAAGTTCGAATTTTACCAGTTTCTTTTTTTCACATTTCCCTAGACTTAAAAATTGCTTCCCCGGGGGCCTTTCTAGGTATTTTCTGGCCTATTATGATGACCAACTGCATGAAGAGATGAGATTTAGATTTGTGCGAAAGAATGATCGAGCAAGTTGTTCGATTCCCTTCTCGAACCTCGCCTCAGAACTAGATTGACGAGTGCTACCCAGAGTCACGTATAGATTATTGTTGAGAGCCCAATCTACTCCCCACGATGAACATCGATCGAGCCCCCTTGAAACCCTCAGCCACTTCCTCGCTCCACCAAGAAGCCCAAACCCATGTCGACGGTACACACTAGATACAGGCGCATACAATGGTCTCGGTAGACGCACTACCGGGGGGGGGGACGGGGGCTGACTACCAGCCAGCTGATCATCAGTCATTTCTTCTGTCGACCAATCCGTCGGGACTCTGGGTAGTCCAAGGCGTGCATTACGGGCTTTCAGGACCATGAGGGCGGCTGACGGAGGCAAGCAGAGTGGATATGATGACGCCCAAGAGGGGTAGCTGATTCCGATCCATCAGATTTTATGACATGGGAGAACAATAATGGAACCGATTAAAAAAAGGGCCAGGCGCCGTGTGATTCGTGGGCTCCCTGCCAGCCCAAAGGGATCGTGACGGGGATAATTCAGACACGAGGCGGGGCTATTTGGGACTTCTGAGTGGAAAATAATAATAAATCGATCCCAAAAGGAATGAAAGAAAAACAAAAAGTACTCTGTGCGGTACTAACAATGCCTAGACATTTCCTCGATCTTGCAGGTGCAGGTGCAGTAGTAGTAGCAGCAGCAGCAGCAGCAGCCATCATGGCACTTTCTCCAAGAATCCGATAAGGTTAATCACCCGGATCCAGACACCCAGAGTTGGTAGCAGGCCCAATGAAGACTGTCGCTGGGACTAGTCTGATCGCTAGAATTGTTTTTAGCTGAGCCCCATCCATCAATCATTCCAAATAATTGCAATTGGAAGGATCCGTTCTGAACTTCTTACTTTTTTTTATTTTTTTTCCCGCTGCCCTGAGCCGACTTCCCCGAGGGCCTTAGAGTTAAGCCCTCCCGAAACGCTATTTCGGTGATCGTCCTGGGTCCATGCACCACACCATTCCAGGAACCATCCACCAGGCTCCAATGTATGTCCGTCCGTGAGGCGGTGGTTGGAGTGCCAAAGAGCCAACCAAGGTTGTGGAAAATCCCGATCGAACGGAAGGAGTAGATACCGAAGGAACAAGGCGAGACATGCCGGGCTAAATCGGATAAAGAATGAGTGAGGCAATAGAGCCGGGGTCCAGTCTCATGAAATACACTTGCGATGGACCGTCAGTCAGACTTACAAGGAAAAAGGAAAGGTATAGTATACTAGAACCACGGGAAGAACCGCTTTCTGGGACGCAAGGATACCGGGGACCTGGGAGGTGGATCGGCTGCTGCCCGGATTGACCACAGAGAGTCGAAGGATTGAGCTGATGGACGGAGGCCGATCCCATATGGACAAGAGAGGGAGGGACCATGCGCTCACAGGCGATCTGGTCCAACCCAAGATCTTGGATGATAGGGAAATTTCGAGGTGTCAGACTTTGGTTTGTAATGTCTGCAACTATCCAAGATGACCTAGATTAGCCGCAATTCCCAAGTTCGACATGAGGTCTAAGACTGACAATTACCAACACAGCGCCGAGTTTAAAAGTCCCTATCTAAGAAGGGTCATCAATGTACTGTACTTGTTGTACTATACCTGTCCTAACTACTGGGTACAGGTAGGTATGGTAGGTACCGTACCACCTGGCAAACTGTACCTACTAGGTAAGGTAGTCACTAACTAAGGTAGTAGTTAGTTAGTTAGTTAGTGTACGGAGTACGGTAGTTACTTGTGGTGCTTGGCTAAGCCGCCGAGTCGCACACCTTCCAGCGTGCTGGGAAGGTCGTGCACTAAAGAAGCAGCCAATGGAGGCGATGCTTATGGTAGCCAGGGGGATCGGCATCGCGCCCATCGAGACAAGATAAAGCAGCCTTCTCGGAGTTGCTCGCAGGTGGAGCCCGCTCGGTCCTCTCTTGCTTTCTTCTTGCTCGTTCGTGCTTGCTTGCCTGCTTTCTTTCTTCCTTGTCTTCATTCCCTCAATCAATCCCTTCGGATTTGCACCGTTTGCACTTCGGGGACTTATCATCCGAAGGACGGAGTCTCGTCAGGGGTGGTCCGCGATGAATTTGATGAGTTCAATGGGTAAGGTACTATGTACGTAGTAGTATGACGTGACGATCACCTAAAGAGAGACGACTTTTATTAGGGCTAGACAGATAGTGCCAAATTCGGGGCCGGAAGTCACAGTCCGTGATGACGAAATTCCAAATTGTCGAAGTGAGTGAGGTATTGGACGATCTCCGGAGAGAGAGAGGGAGAGAGGGTGAGGGTGAGAAGAGAAAGGAAGGAGAAGTGAGGCGGAGAAAGCCTCACCCCTCCTTCTTCCTCGTCACGGTCGATTATCAAAAGTGATAGACTAGAAAGAGCATGCAGGCCTCGTGCCGGTCCAGACAGCCGGTGCTTGTGCCGATTGTGGATCTGAGCGTCCTGTCATTCAGCATGCTGCATACTGCTTTCAAAGGAGTACCTTCAAAATGTACCAAGTACAATATAAGTTAGTACTTCCTGAGGACTTGTGAAGAAGATACAAAGAGAGGATACCTATGAAGTACCTCTGAAGTACCAGCTCTCCCCGGCCTTTTTTTCCTACCGTCCCTTTCCAGTCAGTATGAAACAGCCTGCTATCTTCACCTGGTGGCACTGGGCATACTACAAACACTATTCCAGTTACAATTAGACCTCTACTCCATCCTTTCTCTTCTCCTGCATCAGTCAATCATGATTCTCCCTTCCTATCTCCACCGTGTCCACACTCTCTACCCTTTCCTACCTGTCAATTTTCTCTCTTCCCACCATCTCCAATTGGTCTAATGAGGGCCTTGGCAGTCTCTTCAGCCACACTAGGATGACCACTTTGTCTCTCACCCAGCGTCCAATGGTCGTCATTCCGAGCCATGAGATGACGATGGCCATGGCGACGTGGGTGTCAGAGCAGGCAAGAAGGTTCTGATTTGGCTGTCGAGGCCTTCACCCGCAGCAGGTGGGCGGAGAATTCCCAATGGAGCTGATGACTGATGACGGATGACGGTTCCCATCGGATGGTTTGTGTTGTCTCCAAATCGTGTCCTCTTGTCTGTGGTTACTGCGAGTCTCGTGGGCGCATCGCATGAGTCAAGTAGATGGGTATCGCGCTGTATAGCGAACGCAAGTCGGTAGACTGTTTGAGCTCGCGGAGAGGAACCATCCGCTGCCTCTAGTCCACGAACCTGTTCTTTCCAAAAAGTCACCGACTGATCGCCGACTGACCAATTTCTGAAATTTCTGTTCGGCAACGGAGACTGCCCCGTCCGTTCGAGCTCATGGTGCCACAGAACCCTAGCTGGCATCATCAGGCCGAATGCAATGGTCGAAACGCAATACACTTGCGAAACACGATGAGAGACATGACTGTTCTGCAACTTGCTGGTTGTTTCAGAACAATTTACCGTCTCACTTCCGGGACCACAAGGTGCTTGGTTGAGGATCTGTTGCTTCTTCAGTGAAGGAGTTGACTTCTCCGAACTCTGTGTCTGGCGATCTTAGCCTACGGCCGAATGCAATCTTCCTGTTAGGGGATTGGATTCAATTTGGCGCAGAGTGGGACAAACCCTTGATCGCCGGCAGTGATCTTAGTAAATGGCGCATGTCTGCCTGATCCAATCCCAAGCTCGTCTTTCTGCTGCGGTAACACCGGGGTCTGTACCAAAATTCGGTTTATTGCTTTTATGCCAATAGTTACATGCCGGTCGCCGAAGACATGCCGTGTCGTGTCCTGAAACGACTTCCGTGACACCTGGTGAGTATGCTTGCAATACTGGATATACTTTCGTGGAGAAAAAATCACAAGGCCAAATCGAATAATACAGCAAGGAAGTAGAAGTACAAAGAAAAGATCCAGGCCCCCTCCCCCCACGCGAGAGGAGGCCGATCTCGACCACGCTTTCATCTCTTGACCCAGGTAGGCATCTTGCGCGCCTTGACGTGACCGGGCTTCTTTCTCTCCACGCGACGGGCGTCGACCGTGATGACACCGGCTGCAAGATCAATTGGTCAGTAAAGAATGGTTGTGGTGGGCGGCAGGGATACGTACCCTTGCGGAGCGCAGGCTTCAGAGCGGGCTCGTGAACCAGCAGCGCTCGTGCAACCGCCAGTGTGATGGCTTCTGCCTGCCCGGTAGTTCCTCCGCCCTGGACTTGAGCCCACACATTATACTTGTCCAGCCGCGACGTACTTCGGAGGGCCCAGGTGGCACTCTCGCGATCATGTACTCGAGGGAAGGCCTCGACCAATGTCTTTCCATTCACCCTCACCTCGCCATCGCCCTCAACCAGGAAAGCCACTGCCGAGGAAGACTTGCGCTTGCCCCGGCCGCGAGCACGACCCATCTCATCCACCGTAGCCGGCGCAGGTTTGTTAGCGTACGGATTACCCGGACGAACAAACTGCTTTATCGTCCGCCCAACATTTTCCGGCATGAGCTCGGGATCAATTCGGTTAAGACGCTGCAGGATTTTGAGAAGGCCCTTGTACTTCTTGGTCGGCACTTGCTCCCCGACAAAATCACGAAACTGCGGTAGTTTAAGCCACGCCATCCGAGGCGCCTGGCTGTTCTCCACGGTTGGCAGATTGGCATTTGCGGCGAGAATGCCTTCCAGATTCAATAAATGATCGATGAACTTGGGGTTGCCGGAGAAGTAGGACGGAGACGCGGGCACAAGCCGAGCAGGTCTGATTCTGGGATCCTTGAAGTCAAGAGGAGGAGCGGCCGTGAATGAAGTGGGAGTCTCTTCAGTGGCGTATGTTCGCTTGCCATTGAGGTTCTTGGGGAGGCTGGTCGTCGTCGAGCTCGACCATATGGGCGATCTGGAGATCACGGAGCGCTGGAGAACAGGCCGAAGAGGAGCTGCTTGACGGATGGAGTGCATAGCCTGCACAAGACCATTGGGATTCTGCCAGGCCATTGTGCGGCGAGACGGCTGACGGAAGCCTGGAGGAAGAGGTGTTCGACGCCTGCCGGGGATGGATTTTTCGGGGGGGGAGCGACACGCGGAGCGGGTTCGCCGGAGGAGAGTGCGCGGTGAGTGAGTGAGTGAGTGAGTGAGTGAGTGAGTGATTGTTTCCTGCTCGGGGCGGAAACAATCGCTTTTGGCGGTGTTGGGGTGTTGCGGGCATTTCCTGAGGTTTTTCCAGATTCGAGGTCACGTGGACGCAGGAATCATTCCTCCGGTCCCGATGCTCTTTGATTCGCACAAATTTCACCATCCATTTTCTTCTTCCCCTCATTCCTTTTTTTCTCTCCTCTTCCCCTCCCCTCCCTCTCTCTCCTTTTCTCTTCCTCATCCCACACATCCCTCGCAATGGCCTTCGGAAAGCTCTACGGTTCTCTTGTATGTTCCATGCGCAGCTCTTCCGATCAACGAAAACCCTGCAGCTAACATGATGATGAATAGGAGAACGCTCGCACCATCGCCGTCCTCGTTGCCGCTAAGGCTAACGACGTCGAGCTGGAGCTTGTCAAGACTGAGCCTAACTCTGCTGCTGCTTTCAACCAGTCTGAGGAGTACCGCCGCATCCAGCCCCTCGGCAAGATCCCTGCCTTTGAGGGTGCCAACGGCTACACTCTGTCCGAGGTCATTGCCATCGCCGTCTATGGTACGTTTCGATGGTTTTTTTCCCCCTATCTGCATGCTTTTCACCCCCATCCTCGACATGATGAGATTCATCTATTAGTTATCCCTGTCAGAATGGTAAAAAAAACAAACTGTGTTGATAACGTTTAACTCTGATCAATTGTTACCCCTCTTCGGGTTGATTATCTATTTGTCACTTGACTGTCCTTGAAGTTTTGCAAACTAACTTGCCTCAAGTGACTTCCCAGAACGAGAAGACCACCCTTTTGGGTAAGACCAAGCAGGACTATGCTTCCATCCTCCGTTGGTTGTCCTTCGCCAACGCTGAGCTTATGCCCCGCTTCGCTGGCTGGTTCCGCCCCCTTCTCGGCCTCGACCCTTACAACAAGAAGAACGTTGAGGATGCTTCCAAGCTCGCCCTGAAGAACGCTGGCGTTCTCAACTCCTACCTCACTGCCAACACCTATCTGGTTGGTGAGCGTATCTCCCTGGCTGATTTCTTCGTCGCCGCTCTCTGCACCCGTCTCTTCTCCACCGTCTTGGACAAGAAGTTCCGTGACGAGCACGTCCCCTTCCTCCGGTGGTACAACACCATCATCAGCCAGCCCGCCTTCAAGGCTGTTGTCGAGAACCCCGTCTTCGTTGAGGAGGCCATCAAGTACACTCCCCCCAAAAAGGAGGAGAAGCCCAAGGCTGCTCCTGCCCCCGCTGCCGCTGCCGCCGCTCCCGCTGAGGAGAAGCCCGCTGAGGAGAAGAAGGCCAAGCACCCTCTCGAGGCTCTTGGTCGTCCCGAGTTCGTCCTTGACGAGCTGAAGCGCACCTACTCCAACGAGGACACCCGTCCCGTTGCTCTGCCCTGGTTCTGGGCCAACTACAAGCCCGAGGAGTTCTCTCTGTGGTCCGTCAACTACAAGTACGACAACGAGCTCAAGCTTACCTTCATGGCCAACAACCTGATCGGTGGTTTCCACAACCGTCTTGAGGCTTCCCGCAAGTACCTCTTCGGTTCCCAGCAGGTCTATGGTGCCAACTACGACTGCGTCATCCGCGGTGTCTTCCTTGTCCGTGGCCAGGACTTCAAGCCCGCTTTCGAGGTCGCCCCCGACTGGGAGAGCTACGAGTTCGTCAAGCTCGACCACACCAACGAGGCTGACCGCAAGCTCGTTGAGGACATGTGGGCCTGGGATGTCCCCGTCGTCATTGACGGCAAGGAGTACCCCTGCGTTGACGGCCACGTCTTCAAATAAGCTAGTGCACCCACTTCAGGTTGTTGTAGCTGTGCCTTAGTGCCGACTCATTGATGATGATGATATCCCCTATTCCTTTATTCTCCTGGCGATGAGTGAGCCTTGTAGATGAGCACAAAACATAATCTTCCCATGTCCCATCCCCCTTCGCAACCGCCCAAGGCATCCGGTAGAAAGTGTGAGGCACGGACACCAATTCTGCCGTCCCCCTGTGACTCACTTTCTTTCCGCGTCCTAAATCTCCCAACTGTTTCTCCGACATCTTCCCCCCCCCGATGGTCTTGGTTTTTGTGATTCAATCTTCACTCACCTCAAAAGCTTTTTTACCCACTTTTTCATGCGTCATGTCATGCTCATGATTTCTACATGGATGATAGCAGTACAGTAGTCTGCCAAGGCTCAAAACAATGAACATCAAAGCTTTGTTCTTTCGCATACACTCATCCTGATTCTTGTCCATCTGTCAAGATGCTGTCGTATTAAACGATGCAAACTAGGTTTCTGTACTTGGTGGGACCTAGATTTTCTTATTTACTAGTGATTCACCAGTTGGCGCATCACTCACGCCGAGGGCAAACTCGATCGACTATGTGCATACCCAGCTACGTGTAACGAAGCGCCTATCTCACCCAGCCGCATCTAATTGACTTTTGTTTTTGTTCTTCCTCCGCGGTCAAAGGGGTGTACCGAAAAAAAAAACTGTATAAAGCCCATCGATAGAAAAAGTCACTACACTAAACACCTGTACGCCTAGATACGTACTCAACCAGAGGAAGTAGTCGAATATTTAGATGGGTATAAGGTAGACTAGATGATCCTCAAGAAAAACCACTGAACATGCATCTGCAAACTAGGCAGATGAGATATGATCAATCGATTTAGTTCCCATGCACTTCTTTCTCTATGTAATCATCTAGCATAGTCTAAAATCAAACAGGCGACACAAATGTTTTCAGACGAATGACATCCAAACACACACTCCAGGACACCGCGCTATATCTCTTCGCAAGTACATATACAGAGATGACAGGACAGAGCGGAAACGGCCTTTATGTACAGTACCGTCTAGTTTTGATGAACAGATGAGCCATACAACCAACACCCCACCTCCTTTCGGGATTAATCGTGACGGTTGAGCGATGCCTCTAGTTTATCGAGAAGATCGTTTTGAGTATCGGACCGGACGGATGTATCCGGGGAGAGGGAATGGTGCTCGGAATCGAGGGATGTGGCGGGGGACGGGGAGCGGGCTGTTGGGGCTAAGGCTGGGGCTTGGGCTGTGAAGAAAGTCGCGCTCGCCGCCGCAGAAGCTCGGGCGGCTTTCTTCTCCTGCTTGCGGGCTCTGCGACGCTCGGCGCGGGCTTTTGCAACCTCGTCGCGGGGCGACCCAGGTTCCTTGGGTACCTGCGGTTGGCTTCGCGGGAGGGTGCGCAAGATGTCGAGGATGCACGTCTGGCCGGTCTCCGCCAGCGTCGTGCTCCAAAGATGCAACGCCTGGCTGACATCGTCATACCTGGACAATTCCTCCAGCAGCAGCAGCACTCTGGTGAGGGTTTGGTTGTCGCCCGGACCCCGGTCGCCTGTGAATTCGGGAATCTCCAGGATGTTGTACGGCTCCGAGATGGCTTTGAGCTTGCTGTCGTCGATGAGGATGGTGTTGGTCTGATCCCACCGCGGTATCTCCGCCGGTTGGGATTCCTTCCCGCGGAACCTGGGATACGACGCCTGGATGGACGGATCGCGCCAGACAGTATCCAAAGTCTTGTAAACCTGGGTTTTGGACTTGTACTGCAAGCCCGTGAGCGGGAATTTGTCGCGGCCCCATTCGGCGACAAGCTGTTTTCGGCTCTTGCCCGGAAAGATTCTGTGGCAGAGGTTTGAGACCGTGAAGGGTTGCGAGCTCGACCAGACCATGACCTTGTACTTTTCCAGGAGACCCTGGCGGAAACGGTTCAGGCCGGCGCGTTCAACGAAAGAGGGCGGAGACCCACGATGTTTGCGGTGGACAAGAGTGCCATTTAAGTCAAGGATGACGAGGAGGGGTTTCGAAGACTCGTTTCGCTTCGGGGGAAGAGATGATTGCTGAAGATATTCCGCCGTGGGAGATGGAGGTGTCAGTGGCTTGCAAGACGGATATTGACCTTTATTCGACTGCTCTTGCTGCTGCTGCTGCTCTTGCTGCTGCTCCTGATTAGGGGCTGCTTCCTGCTGGAAAGGTGTACGAAAGGCGAGAGGGTCGAGCATTGACATCGCTAACAATGGGTTTGGCATCCCCATGTTCATCAGGGGGGGAGGTGGCATGGGTAGTAGCTGGCTCGTAAAGTTTGTGAAATCATTCCACGATGCCGGAACCTTAAATGAAGGGTATGAGGAAGAATTGAACATGGGTGTAAACTGTTGCTGTGGCTGAAAAGACGTGTTCTGTTGAAAGGATGGCTGTTGTTCTGGCATATTCTGTGTGAAGAAATCCTGTGGCATTGGTATATTCGGCATCAGAAACGGCAGCGGAGGCATTGTACTGCCATTTGCATTCATCACACCCGGTGCAGGTGGAAACACGAAAGACGGGTTCGTGGTATTGACATTGCCCATGGAACCTGCATGGCTTGTCGCAGCCTGTCCCTGAAGTGACTGCAATGGCGCAGCCCTATGAGGTGACGCGATCGCCCCATGGTGTTGCTTTGGTCGTCTATCGGCTGGTCTATTGTTTCTTCGTGGGCCGTGTCTTCGTGGTCGATCTTGCGATGTGTTACCTGGTGTTTGCGTGCCGGATTCGTCTGCATGTGTAGTCTTCGAGCTCCAGCGGCCATGGTAGGGTGTCCAGGGAGCCGGGTTGTTGGAATTGGCATTGTTGGAAGGCTTGTGAGGACCACCCCAACCGGTCTCGTTAGAGCCGCGCTCGAATCCACCTTCAGTCCCCATTTCAGAGCGCGATGTGCTATCACGAGACAGATACGATGGATATGAACGATGGTATAATCTCGGGAGAGATGAGAGCCGGACTCGAGAAGTGAGAATGAGACTGGGTTGCGAAATCTGTACAATATCGTCAGCGAAAGTAGTTAAAGAACGGTTAATGCTTGTCAGGCCATGCATACACAGACGACCCCGCTTCGAAACATTCGATCGAGCTTGACGTATTCAGAGGGAGCTGGCCTTGGGGCTAGCATGGAGATGCCGGTTAGTAACTTGCATGGGCACAGTAGAGACTGCAGTAAGAGCAAATATGGCAAAGGAGAGTGAGTGAGCGAGCGAGCGAGCGAGCGAGGTGTAGAGTGGCCAGCGATGGGCGGAGCAATCAATCATTCCGTCGCGATGCGGACGGACCAGGGGAAAAATCGCGATCAGTTTCCCCACAAACCAATCACCGACGAGCCGCCTTGACGACCGCCCCCCAAATTCCGGCAGAATTGGAGCCATTCTTTTTTTTTTTTTTTTTTCCTGCTCCGCATCGCATCTTCACCGCCATACGGCAAAAGTTGGATTTTCTTATCACTATCACTAATACCCAGTTCTTTATTCTTCGCACAAACCAAAATGGCCATATCAGATCTTCTCAATCGCCGGGTGCGGGCGCTTCCCGAGGAAGACGAAGAGGTTTACTCAGACGGTCCCGGTTCCGAGGAGGCTAGTGACCTTGCACCATCGGACCACTCGGACTCCGACAACGCCAGCGACGGTTCTCTCGATGAGGACGATGTCGACAATGATGATCTGGTTGGTATCCTCAACGCCGTAGCATCAAATCCCACGAATCGCTGACCCATAACACAGTCAGACAAAGTCTCCGACGCTTCAGAGGATGACGGTTCAGACGATAGCGAGAGCGACGGCGATGCCCCCGAGGATGATGTCCAGGCCTCTCTTGGTAGCATTTCATTTGGCGCGTTAGCCAAAGCGCAAGCATCCCTAGGTCCGAAAGCGAAACGTGCCGCAAAGGCCGCCGCCAGGAGTACAGATGAAGCCACTGCAGCGCCGTCCCCCCTCGACGATATTCGAGCTCGAATCCGCGAAGCTCGGGAGCAGAAACGGCAAGCATTGCCAAAGTCGAAGGATTCGGAGAAGCCTTCTCGCTCTTCCAAACACGCGCCCATGGTGCAATCTTCCAAGTACGCCGTTTCTCGCAAGCGCACGGTCGTCGAGCCCCCGAGCATACCCAAATCCCGAGATCCACGCTTTGACCCGACTGTGACCAGCCAGGGTGGTCGGGGAAATACTCAGGGTGTCAAGGACGCCTATGCCTTCCTCGACGAGTACCGTGCAGATGAGCTCAAAGAGCTGAAGGCACAGTACGCCAAGACGAAGAATCCTGTCCAGAAGGAAGCCTTGAAGCGAGAGATTCGATCGACTCAGGATCGACTCCGTGCAATGGAGAACAGAAAGCGAGAGAGGGATATCTTGGCCGATCACAAGAAGAAGGAGAAGCAGCTCATCCGCGAAGGAAAGAAGAGCACCCCGTACTACATGAAGAAGTCGGAGCTTAAGAAGCAGGTCCTGCTTCAGAAGTACGAGACTATGAACTCCAAAGACCGCACAAAGGCACTTGAGAGGAGACGAAAGAAGACCGCCGCGAAAGAAAGGAAAGAAATGCCTATGGAGCGTCGAGCTCTGGCCGACGACGATGCACCCAGAGACCACGGAGGGGGTTTCAAGCGTCGCCGGCTTGCTTAATGTGAATTGCGTCTTTTGCTATCGCTCATAGAGGAATTCATTTGTGTACATAATTATGCAGACCACATATCAGTATACCCAAAATGGTATTACCTATCATTATCCAGAATTACCGTGTTTTGCCCGGCTTCGATGATTTCAGCCCAGCATAGCAACCAAAGTATTATCGTGAGTATCGGGGTAGAAATAAGGATGAGAGAAGAGTGAAATGTCCAATAAGACTTGGTGGAGAAGAAAACGAACAGGTAGTTGGTATCGCAAATATGAACATCGAGTGGAAGAAAGAGCAATCATAGACACAACACGGACCACCAGAAGATGAAGTCCCTAACGATATAGACATGGTTCTGAGACCAACACAACCTGATAACAAACGCCTCATAGCCAGTGAATTCCATAAGCTTGGATGTAGGTGATGAAATGAGTGTATGCAGAACGGAATCATGAATGAGATAGAGCAGAAACTTTGGCAAGGATGACAACTTAAAATGCTGTCTGCAGTGTGGTATAGGATGCAGAGAAGATAACTCAAGATGCTGGAAGTAGTCCAGTTCTCCTTCCGGTCTAGGAGCAACTGATCATGCATGTTCATAGAAATGGTCGTAGTATGCATATTCGTCATGCCGAGAACGCAGAGTTCTCGAAACATGTTCCCACATGTAACTCAGGACAGATCCTCACCTGGGTGTAAGGCTTCCGCCGGAGTCTAACTGAACTGCCCGGCCAACAAGCACATGTTATGTTATGTGGCGCATATCGGACGGTAACCCTGGTGACTGGGTGAAGCTACCCTTCAGGTGATAGGATGCAGAGACGACGCACTGGTCTTTCAAGAATGGAATAAATCCCATGCTCGGGCGCAAAGACTAAGAAATTCTTCCTTCTTCTTTCTTTGGGTTTCGGGCGAGTCTCTACCAGCACCAAATGGACCACGGCTGGTACTTGCACCAGACGCCAGAGCTGGATTCGGACGATAGTGTTGCTCGGGACCGTGGCCGAGTGGAGGACTTCCATGCTCATGCTCGTACTCGTTTCGAGAGCGGCGACGGGCAGACCTTTCCGAATGATACAGAGCTGGCTGTGGTTGCACATTTGTTGCCGGCGTCATCTCCGGATGAGGTGCGCCAGATTTGGGGGGACCATTAGCAATCCGCGGAGACGGTGGAGTTGGCGGTTGGTGGCCGCCGTAGTGCACAATGCGAGGCAGAAGCTCTTCCCGGCCACCGGACATCTCCTGGACAGCTTCTTCGGCAGAGCGATACTCTCTTGGGCGCTTGGGAATTTGAGCGGATTCACGGGACATCCTGGGAGACGGGATGGGCGGTAAATTGTTTGATTGCGATGAGCTGGCACCGGATGCGCCGGGGTAGAAAGGTCCCCGATTGATTTCCCTTTCGCGACCGCCCAGAGCGTCCGATCCAAACACATCCGAGAGTGGTGGAAGGCGGTTGTTCGTTTGGGTGGCAGGAACATGGTGAATATGAGACGTGGATCCCAGAGTAGGACTCTGGTTGACGATATGGCGGGTCAATGGCTGTGGCTCATGGCGGCCTGTAAACGTTTGGTTCAGTGGTGCGGATTGGATCACACGCTCATTTGCGAATTGAGCCGCAGATGGAGGTACGATGGACAACCCCGGTGGTCTCCGCTTCGAGGCAGCGGTCTTGGGTAGCCCAAACGAGTCCGATGGTTTGATTCCCTCTGGCCCATCGTCCTTGGCTGATTTCTGTAGACGCGACTCGATGATGGATCTCTGCTGATCACGGACTGACAAACTCCGTTGGAGTTGTTCCCTCATGACTGGGTCGTGGGTTTGGAAGCCCGGCGACAAGCACGCGATTCCGACGTTCTGCATGTTGAGGCCATCTCGGGCAGTCATCGGACCGCCTGGGGCCCGGGCAGACAAACCCCCCGAGTTTGGGAGACTAGTGGAGAGATCAAGTCGTCGGGGACGGGGTCGAGTATGGGACTGCATTGCGGGCGATGAGGGTGGCTCCTTCTTAACTATGACTTTCGAAGAATTTATTCCGTTTTGCGACCTAGCTGGTTATTAGCACCCTCGACGACACACAAGCACTTGTCGTCGAATACTCACGATGGGGAGGTCGGTTTCCTTCCTGCGGGTGAGCTTTGAGTTAACGAGCCATCCCGTGATGGTCCAGACAACCGAGGAGGCGTAGTGCTGTTCTGATTATTCGAAGTCGCGGGCGCCAGAGTTGGGCAATTCTTCGGACTCAAGTCACGGGTCATGCGCGGCGAAGTGAGCGGAGCAGCCTGGACCGGCGCAACCGCGGTGGACATACTGATGAAGGAAGATGATCGGGTGAAATAAGATGCAGCAGGTCGAAGCAAGTGCGACTCCTTGGCAAAGCTCTCAACAGCAGAGATAGCTTTCACGCCGATCCAATCTTGAACTGAACAGATACCCTCTCGGGTTGCTGTCTCACACAGCCACTGTATATATACGGTTTGAAGCCTGTACCAAAGGTCTCACAGCTTGACTAGCCGGAGATTCAAATAATTTTCGATATGTGTTGTGTAGTATCAAAATTGAGGAACGATGTTGAGCAAAGGAGAGCGCGCGGTTGAGCGAGCTCGGGGAGCGTCGGCGGCTAATCGGGTGGACGACTCGTAGGGTGATGGAAAGCGTGCGTGGCGTAGTGTAGCGTAGCGTAGTGGAGGGACACGAAGGTACTTTGGTCGGTAAATAAGCTCCGGAGGAGGAGGAAAGAGAAGAACGGACGGGTCCAGCCCAAACAAGGAACGACCAGCACAGAGGGGGGAGGACGAAGAGGGAGAATGGAGTAGAGATGAAGGGTAGGAGGAGGTAGGGTAGAGGAAAAGAGAAGCCGGCGGCGGCCAATGTGGCACCTTGACCCAAATTGCGCACAAACAGAAGAAGGGTGAGTGAGGGTAGTAAGGTAGTAAGATGAGTAGGTAGGCAAATAGTGGTAGGTGGTGGGAGAGAGAAGTAGGAGAATGGATTGGATTGGAGTGGTCAAAGAGTTATTGGGAGAGGCGGTTTGACTAAAGCTGGCTGGGCTGGCGGCAGTGTGACAACGGTTAGAGGTCGGTCAGAGAATCTCATCCGGTCTGGCCCCCAATGCGAGAATTGTTGGCTCGAATCGATGGATATGGATATGATATCGGTGAACTTGGCCCGCAAAAGACAGAACAAAGCAAGTCAACCAGATCTAACTGCTTGCACCAAAGGATTGGGTTAGATGAGAAACGAAGGGAACGAAAAGGAAGAGGAAGAGGAAGAAGAAGAGGAAGAAGAAGAGGAAAAAGAAGAAGGAGGAGGAAGAACAAGTTCAAAATGAAAGACAACAGAAAACAGGCCGAGAAATTATTGTATGTAGTTATGGAGTGGCACTAATTAATAAGGATGTATGTTTGACTTTTGGGGGGGGGGAGGGGGGAAAGAGGAGTGAGACTGTGAGAGTAAGTGGAGGGGAGAAAAGAAAATAGGGCCGAGTCAATCTCGATGAGACGGTGGCATAAAGAACTACATTACGGCACTCAAAGAGGTACAATTCACCACCCCGTCCTCATCAATCAGAGCTTGCAGCTGGGTCCAATTTAAAGAAGAAGTATGGATTAAATTCAAC